TACGAGTTTAAAGATCATATTGCCAGAAAATGTACAGAATATATGAAGTTCCATCCAGAATTATATCCCAATTTTGCAAAATTCTAGAATTCTATTGCCCTCTGCTGGTTTAGTATACCTGTCTGTGATGTGGTATTGCTGAATTACAAGCGAATTGGCCTTTTATTTTTCATGGTGAAATAATAGTAGATAACAGTGTAGTGAACTGCTTTGCTACTCACAGTTTGAAGTTTTCTAAAATATAAATCAGTCTTAAGTCCAGGCTTGTTCGGTGGCTTCCTGAAGGTTGGAGAGATGGCTTTTGTTGCTGAGGTTTTCAGGTTGGAGAAGAAGCTTTGTTCATCTTTTTGTCCAAAGTAGTAAAAATCAAAACTAAAAAAACCAAACCAACCCCAAAAAAAGCACACACAAAAAAACCCCAAAACCACAGAAGCTTCACAGTTCTTCATGCTTTTGCGACCGTTCCCTATATTTAGGTGTACAATACATGTGGGTATAATTTTACGTCTTAGACCAGATAAGAAAACCATTTATTGAATTGATGATGTTACCATGCAGCCCTCTGTCGGACTTGAAAACATGTTCATGTGCACTTACACTTGCTTGAGTATGTGCATGCTGTGATAAATATCGATATATATGCATGGTGTGAGACAGTGTTGTCCGCAAGTAATATGTAAATACGCCTCACTACTGCAGATTTGTCCTGTGGAACTTCTTTGAAGTCGTTCTGAGCTTACCGGGTATCAGTGTGGGCACAGCGTAGATCTAAACGCGGGTCTGGCTCTTAGAATATGTTCATACGCAGAACTTGGCCTCGGGACGGGTTGCCTGCAGTAGGTGGTACCACGTGCTGATCAGCTGAATGTCTCCATAAACTGCTCCTAGATGGGGAGTAACCCTTCAAAGCAGCAGTGTCCCTATAGCCTGGGTGTTGTACCAGTTACACTTGCAGACTTCCGGGGAGAACCCTAAGCACTATGGGTGAGGAAGTGCTGTGTGGTATGCAAAGAAGATCAGTGGGTAATTTCATCGGTGTTGCAAGAGCTTTCTTATAGAGGTCAAGCAGATTAAGCCCTAACACAGTGATTCCTCAAGGAGTTGAGGAGGAAGTTGCTCTTTGCGTTCAGCAACCTTCCTCTCACTTCTTTTCCTTCCTCTTCTGGCCAATATTACCCAAACCAATAACACAGGATATAAGTTGGAGACAGAAATGCAGTTTACTTCTGAAGTAAACTGGATTTTTCTGAAAAATAGAATACTCTTGAGTTTGACCCTTCATTTCCATAGCCAAGAAACATACAGCAAAACCCTGTGAGGAAACAGAGCTCTCAGGTATATTTATACTCTGTTTTTACTCTTTTTATTTTTTAACTCTTTTTCCAAGTTCACAATCAATAACTGGATCCTTTGCTTTGCTAAAATACACTTGCTTTTTTCTTGAAGCTTTTGTGGTGTAAAGGATAATGATTCGTGAGTGATCAGCACAAAGCATGCTTTACATTTCCAGGAACAAGCAATCTAAATAATACAGTGGGGGCCGGTTAGGTCAGTCAGTTGAGCGCGCTAACAACGCTAAGGTCACAGGTTCGATTCCCGTTCGGTCCCCATGTGTTGCCTGATCTAGTCGAGAGGTGGTGTCCCTGGCGGCAGGGAGGCTGGATTAAAATGATCTCTAAGGTCCCTTCCAGCCTAGGCCATTCTATGATTCTATGATTCTTCAGTGTCATAGAGATGCTTTTTGGGCACCTGCAACTTACAGTAAGTGTGGGACTTGGTGCGCATTTTTTACTGAGCCACACGTATAATTTTCAAAATCAAAAGTATCCAGTGTCAGGAAACAGAAAAAAACTCTAGGCAGTTGTTATCCAGACCGCTAGTAAGGTGGAAACAATGGAAAGATAATTCCCAAATTCAGGAAGCTGCATGTAGTCACACTTGACGTATCCCAAATCTACTTTGTGTTTTCAAAACCTGTAGAATGTAATTCATTATTTTGATATGGGTAATGTCTGTTTCATACGTACTTTGGCAGGGGAGCGTTTGGGTGGGTTTATGTGCCATTAGTCTAGTGAAAGAACTCTGTGTCCTTTGCAAAACTCAGCTCACTTTCTGGTGGTTAATTCAGTTTACACCTCAAGACTCTTTTAAGCTGTCGTACAGGCAGCTTTCGAATAAGGACTTTATCAGTTCAGAACTATTTTTATTATTTTCTTCTGGGGTCTTTTTTAAGCTGTCAACCCTTAAATCCTCCCTTATAAGTAGGAAATTCTTTTGCTGCCTCCTACACTCATTCTGTCTGGCAGAAATGAATTATAGGGACGGGGAGAAAGAGCATAAATACCAGTATAGTTTAGCTGTCCTATGGAAAGATTGGTGAAGATTTTTTATATAAATTTTTTTTTTGTATATATATAATTGCTTGATGAAAAACACTGAATAACACTGAATTACTGTTTTGCTTAAATTGGAGAAATCCTGAGAAAATTCTTTTGAATACAACGGTAAACATTGGGGCCCTTTTGATGTATTGGATTAGTTTCCATTCTAGTCAAACGGGCTGACTAAGCACTCCCAGCGTAGGGCATATAGACACTGGAAGCTTCAAGGAATGCTTGTATTTGTACCAAGAGTATTTTTAGTCCATGGATTTTGACTGCATAGGAGCAGCAGTTTGCTTCTTAAGCTTAGTATTCATATTGCTTTTTCACAAACAAACTAACCAAAAATGAGCTGAGAATCCAGAGAGGTTTTGCGGAAGATAACTGGCAGAGCTGAGCCTGGAACTGAAACTCCTGACTTTGATTCTGCGGTCTGGCCGCTATCAGGTTTTGCCATTTGTTTCAACACATGCAGGTGATGAGAAGGATAATGTTTATGACTGCTTTGGGGTTTTGATGGCTTTTCTTTCATCCTTTTGTAAAAAAATGTATTTTTACTTTGCCTAGGAATTACTGGCGATGTTGCTTTATGTTATAATATTTGAACATGAATGTCCATTGTTTAAAAGTAGTCATTTGTACATGACTGTTCATGGTTATAAGCTATGAGCACAGGAAGAGCATCTAAAAACCCCCCAGCTTTCCCGTCATGTTTGTCCCCATGTGAAAATTATTTCTCTCATTTTTATTTCTCTGTAACTATTACTGTTGACCCAGGGTTACGAATTTAAACTTTCTTTCGGTTTGTGCCAAAGATCACCCCCTCTTCACCTAGTTTACACAATTACCTGGTTCGGGCTGAGGCATCAAAGGCAGCTGGACAGGTTGATAGTCGGATCACTCCTTTGTGTGGCATTCAGTGCACAAATTGGCATGAGTTACATATACCAACTAGCTAGGCTTGAACAGTCGTTTGCCTTTTTCCTTTTCCTTTTTCCAGTTTCTTTTTTCCTTTTCCTGACATCGTACTCCCTTTGTGACTGGGGCTTACTGCCAGTGGAAAACAAAAAAGAATAAATCAAAGTAAAAGTCATGGTATGGCCTTAGCAGTAGACACTGCTTTCAAGATGTGTTGTCCATATTTATATTACACAGTTTACCTGTCATCCCTATTGCTCTCTAACACAAGTTTTGTGCATCTGGATTTTGAGTTAGGGGAATGTTTGGGCCTGATTCGTTCTGTAGTCCCTGTGTTGATGACCACAGCTGAACAAATTAAGGTATTTTAAGCACCCTGTATACACACCTGTCAACAGTGAAAGATATGAAATGTGTACAGCTCTTAAAGAATCATGTCTTTGATAGGGAATGGATACATGGCATGTGATCAGGACTTTTAGTACTTGGAAGCGCGTAATGTGGAAAAAGCAATTTAAAGAATTGCAAAACCAGAAAGCAGTAAGACAGACTTCAAAATTTTCAGTTGTAATTTCCTAGCCTTCCACTTGACTGTCTGGGTGCCTACTAAGGAAGTATTATAGGTACTGGCTGTTGTGTACGATTATACAATTATAAATATTAATCAGAGTCACACTGATGCTCTACAGGAAAGTGATTTCTAACATAATTATTAAAGCAGAATTTAGCTTCTGGTTATAGTGTGTGTTTCAGCCATGAGTAGTATTCTGAGTGTAAGTCATTAAATCAGGCATGTACTTTATTCTTCAGTTCTGCAGAAATAATCATAAGCAGGTATTTAGATTACCTGGTTCTTTGCTATATGCACTATACAACACGATTTTTTTTTCAAAAAGCAAGTCATGTATGGTATAAAATTTTATTCTTAATGATTCAAGTCATCAAAATAGATTTCATTTCATTGTATGTGGTACAAGAATATTAAACAACTCACTGGGAGACTAGTGCTACCTAAATAAATAGACCTACTTGAAAAAAGTGGTGCATTCATAATGACTAATGCTGTAACAATTCTGGTTTTGTTTGAGAGCTTAGAGGGACCCAGACCCTTGTGACTTCAAAGAACATACCCAATTTAGTACACTTTCAGGAGCTGGATTTGGGTCATGCAGTACAGTAGATAACAAGAGAACAGTTTATCTAATCTTGTGCTGTTGCAGCAAATGCAGCTTATTGGAGGGACTTGCACTTACAATTATTTTAAATTTCATTACTGTAGTTCTGACCTTTAAATACAATGAGAAGTAATTTTCATCTGTTTGAATACTGATTCTGTGTTGTAGGACTAGGTTATTAAAAATACTATATTCTGTTAGCAAGGAAAATATTTTAGATTAGAAATCTGTTCTGTACTATCATCACAGAATTCCTCCTCTCAAGTCTCGTTTTTCTACTGTGAATTCAGAAAGATGTGCCATGCACTGGCGTTGGATTTTTAGACAAGCTTCCTGTATGTTAATTGGCACAAAACTGGACACAATTTCTCTTTCCTACACTGCAGTACAAAAGATGGTATATATCACATGTTTCAGTCTGTACAGCTGATTTCATACATATGTATTTCAATACCCAAGCTATAGCCTTGAAAGGAAGTTATATAATAGGACTAATTTGTCAATTTTGTATGTGTCTTGCTGTCAGAAATTGGGACCTGGAGTTAGTCAATTTGCCTACACCTGTGTACAAGACCATCCTATCTGGACTAACCAACAGTTTTGGGAAACAACCTTTTATAGCAACGTGCAAAATCAAGTTCGCTCCCTCTACCTTACAGCCAAAGATGACAACCATGTAGTTCATTTGAGACAAAAGGTAGGAGGATAGAATAAAGAAAATACCAAAATAGTATTGTTATTCACATTTAAATTGTCTCCTAAGTTATAGAGAATTGAGTTATGGATTTTCCAATTTTATGTATTTTTCTTTGTTTTTCTCATATTAGTCGACATATGTTAACATGCATTGTATTTTGATGTTCCTTTTATGATTTTTCAACCAACCAGTTTTACACACTTTGAGGTATGTGTTGTTCCTGAATAATAACTTACTGTAAACAATGTTATAAATTGGCAACAGCTCCACTGTATGAACAGCGAAAGCTAGCAGCAGTTCCAGTGTCCAGTGTTAGATTATTACCAAGCCCTAGAGTGGTTTCTTGTTCAACGGCGCTCCGTCTGCTTTATTAAAATTGGTCCAATCTTCAGAACACAAATTGTCTGTCTCAGTAGAAGGAAAGTATATCTCTAATGCAAAAATGAAGGTACAATGGGAAGCCTTACAGCATGCTAAAGTAAGATGATTTTTTTGAGGGGTGCATACACATACTAAAGAGCCATTTGTAATCTCTGTTCTTGTATGAAAATATTACCAACTCTGTGACTGACAAGTATATACTGTCCAAAGCCGTACAGCATTGTAAAGAGAGGAAGTAAAATAAACAGAGATATTTCCAGAAATGTATTCAGAATGAAGAATTAAAAAGGCATGTCAGACACTTCAGGGGTAAAGAGAAAAGGACTGTGGGGGTGTGTACAGGGAACGCCTTGCAGTCTGACACGATGTAAAGAAAAATGTGAAGTATAGTAGAACTTAGAAGGAAGCATCTGCTTTAGCCCTTACATGTGTTTATATGGAAAACTAGCTCAACTTCAACTTGGTATGGAAAATGCATGTAGAAGATACTTAGTCCTTTAATAATTTAACATCTGATCTTAGCTCACTAATATCAGCTGCCAGATTCCTTTATTCTAATTTTCTCAGTCTCTCATATAATTACATATTTTTTGCATGTCTTGTAGGAGAAAAATTCTGTAAGTCCAGACCAGGATAAGACTGCAATGGACCTGGCTGCTGAGCAGTTGCGATTGTGGCCAACTCTTAATAAACAAACACAGCAGGAGCTAGTCCAGAATGAGGAAAGTACAGTTTTCAGTCAGGCAATTCATTTTGCTAACCTTATGGTCTACCTGCTCGTACCGCTGGATACAAGTAAGAACAAATTATTGAGAACATCGGCTACTGGTGACTGGGAGAGTGGAAGCAACAGTATTGTCACAAACAGGTGGGTACACAATTCAGTGGTAATCTGTCAGGGTGTGCCATAGTTTTCAAAAGCTTCTTCATTTTTCGGGACTTACTCTGAATACCAGATTGGTTCAGTATCTTCTTTTCAAGTTCATTAACTAAGGAGAGCAGAAATCTAACATCATTCCTCTTAAATAACAGAATTTAACTTGAGCTTGAGTAATTTACCATCATTTAAAGGAACATAAAAGTTTTGTTGTAGCAGTAAGAATTTTTAATCTGGTAATGCAAATGTTGAAGATGAATATGAAGATATGAGGAAAAGAAAACAGCAGCTCAAAAACTATTCCGTTAGTTTTTATATAACTTGAAAAATGGTGGATGAACCTAAAATCAAGAAAGCATTTGAACAGGATCCGTAAAATCACGATTTCTGTGCAACAGCTGCAGGGCAGAAAGGCACTGAGGTCACAGAAAGCAAGAGGGCTAAACTACTGTGGCAAAGGTTAAATTACTAAGGAGGCAGGAGGAGTATAACATCACTTACGTTCCCTAGCATGCAAATCCAGGACATTTCGTAACAAGCCTTCCTCCCTCTCTATTTTTTGTCTTCAGTATCATCTATGATCCATTGGAATTTCCAGCTCATAAACTTCTTCAACACTATGTGAGAACACTGACACCAAGTAAAAGATAGGCAGGCTGTCAGCATCAGACTCTCCATGGCTACTTGTTTCTGCCGACTGAACACCACTAGCCTTGGGCATTAAGAAATGCTCAGTAGACTGGTTATGGAACACAATTTTTGATGTTCAGAGTATATCTCTCGCTGACTTGTTTGCATTTTCTGTCTAATCCAGAAAAAACTTTTCTTATGGTCTTTTTAGCTTTTCAATACTTTGATCTACAACCAATACATTCATTTAGTGTAACTGGAAATGTGTTAAACATGGGTTGCGGATAACATACTTGGCTCTATGAAGATAAGACTTAGAGCTCACTTTGAAGAAGCTTTTTTTCTCTTGTAAGCCTGTCTGTACCAGACTGGGAAAATTCTCTTATGCCATCATCCATGCAGTTCTGGCAGTGTTAATGACAGAGACAGCATGGTGTGACTGTGGTAGCACCATATGCTTTTAGCAAGGTCTGTGTATTGTAACTAGAAAAAAGAAATAACACAGCTTGTCTGTGTCTAGCCAGGTATCATATGTGCATCACCAGCTGAGTTTTTCAAATTTCTTTTATTTATGTCTGTAGTATTGCAGGCAGTGTTGCAGAGAGTTATGACACTGAAAGTGGATTTGAGGACTCCGAGAACAACGATGTTGCAAATGCAGTTGTACGTTTCATCACCAGATTTATTGACAAGGTTTGCACAGAGAGTGGAGTTACACAGGATCACATCAAGGGTCTTCATTGCATGATACCAGGTGAGAATTGTGACAAAAAAAGTTATTTGTAGTCTTCTTTTTTTTTTTTTCTAGTGAGAGAAATGCAGTTTTTAGTATCAGTTCCTTTCAGTGAAGTTAGGGTAGATTTCTTTCCTAGACTATAGTTGCCTTGATGATTAAATTTGAGAATTTCAGAGTACCAATGTTTTAATTAGACAGCAAATTTCTCTTTCACGTTATGTGAAACTTCATTTATGGTATTACTACTTTCTAGGCATTGTAGCAATGCACATAGAGACCCTGGAGGCTGTCCATCGTGAGAGTCGGCGACTTCCACCAATACAGAAGGCAAGTATTATGAAACATATTTGTATTCTTTACAAGTATTAGAATCATGCAATTTAGTCATCTTCCCCTTCCCTCATAATGTTAAGAGGAAATATTAGAAGAAAATTTCCACCAGTGATAAATAAAGTGCTTGGCTTTGGTCTCATGAAATATGATCTTATAAATCTAGTAGAGCCAAACAGCAGATGATAAACAAGCGGTTGCATGCCCACTGTGTTTTGATACCCATTTCTCTTAGTTGGGTCCAAACTCCATCTCCCTTCTTTGGACTTAGTCTCCTGACAGTTTTGTTTTGAAGCTTTTTAGGCCGAATATTATGACTGAGGTATAACTCTGGTATTGCCATTACACTTACACTTGTTTATTTGCATCAGCCCAAAATTCTACGACCAACTTTACTGCCAGGAGAAGAGTTTGTTTGTGAAGGTCTCCGTGTGCTACTGGATCCTGATGGTAGAGAAGAAGCTACTGGAGGACTGCTTGGAGGTCCTCACATCCTCCCTGCTGAAGGAGCTTTGTTCCTTACCACTTACAGAATTATATTTAAAGGCGCTCCTCATGATCAACTGGGTAAGAAAAATGAAAGTGATAATTGTGATCCTTCAGATGTACAGCACTTCGAGGTGACCGATCCACCTATTGAAGGATTAACATCAAAATGCGTATACCTGACAGTGTAATTTTTCATGTTTATCAGATAAGAATAATCTCTTAATAGAGGTTTTTATCACTAGATACAACAATGATCGATTTTGATTTTGCATTTAACTTAACTAGAACTTATTTCCTCATACGAGGCGTTAGATGCTAAATGTTTGTTTATTCCTATGTATTGGTAGATGTTATAGTATGTACTTGTCTTAGGGGAAACATCAATAGGCTGTCACATGGTATTATGGGCTTGTCAGTGTTGGGTTAATGATTGGACTGGATGATCTTAAAGGTCTTTTCCAATGTAGACGGTGATTCTGTGGACTACCAAAAGCTGGAAGTAGAAAATAAGGGCATTTATGACCATCCTACATTCCATCCTATAGAAAGACACAGATGGAAGGAGAATATTTTTTGGATCATCCCAGCTGAAATTAAACAGAAAATCAAATTACAAAAAACACTTAAGGAATTCACCAGCTTTTCAGATATTTTGTCTGAAATTAATTCTATACTGTTATTTTCATGTTGCTTTGTACTTAGTCATTGCTTTCTATTCAAAGTGCAATGTGACCAAACCAGATTTGATTTTGTGATCTAACAAGTACCTGTATGTGCAATTTTATGGTCCTCAGTAGGAGAGCAGACGGTGATCCGGAGCTTTCCTATCGCATCTGTTACTAAGGAGAAGAAGATCACTATACAGAACCAGCTGCAGCAGAGTATGCAGGAAGGACTGCAAATCACTTCAGCTACCTTTCAGGTAAAATGTTTTGTAAAGATTTATGTGACAACACAGTCAGCTCAAATTCTGATGAGCAGCGCTTCATCTTGACATTTTTAAAGAGTTTGTTTTTCTGCTCTGTAAAGTCAGTGGAGAATGCAGTCCTCTCGTAGAAATGCTGGCATTTGTTGTCCTGGTTGATATTTACACAGAGGGTTACCATTTTCATATTTAATTTTTTTCACTCCTTTCCTCAGCTTTCTATTTTTGATCCAGTAAAGAGGTATTCTGAGTCCAAAATCTCTTAATGTAAGTAGAGGCCTAGGCAGGCCAGCAGATACAATGCTTTCTTTCTCCTCCATTGACACAGGAATGAATATGGAAAAGCTCAAGACTTGTCCCTTTACCAGCTTTCTGTAAGAACCTGTGTCAGAAAGGCATGGTACCGTCTCACATGGCAAGTGCACTTCCATGAATTTTTAAGGTAGCCAGCATCGACCAGGACTACTAAGCCTCTATATGACTTGCACAGATCATGGTAGCTCCTGTCTGTAGGATCCCCGTTGGCGTGTTCAGCAGAAGCATGTACTGCAGGGCCATTGGCAGAAATGGACTGCTGAGTGTTAGGAATCATGAAATCTCTGAAGTCTTCCCTAAGAGTTTCTTCTTGGTGGTGATCTGTGGCCAAACCCTAAGAGATGGAAAGTTGAAGGCAAAGCATTTTATATGATGGACTGAAAGACACAAAGACTGCAGTACTTAAGATATGGAATATATTGCTGGCTTTGCTGAGTGCAGAAATTTATTTTCATCGAGAACAGGAACATTTGAAAACATAATAGAGTAGACCATCAGCATTTCGGTAGTTCATTACAATAATGAACATCATTTAGCTAGTCATCCTTCAATATCCTGTTCAAAAGCATGAGACTGGGAATACAAGAGAGTAAAACAACCAAAAGAAAGTTGTTTTTGTGGACTTCTGAGAGGACTTCATGAGGACTTTTATTTTCCAGCAATCTTTTTACCAGAATAGTTAGCATGCTTCAATGATGTGCTAAATGCAGTGATTTTAGAGCTGGATTCTGGTCAAACATCATCTTTGCTTTTGTTTAGCATAGTTTTGTATTAGGTTATGAGAACAAAAACAATCAGCAAACGGTTTACTTTTTTTTTTTTTTTACTTTGTAACAGCTAGAGTTTGGTAAAATGTGAAATAGCCCCTCCTCTTTGTTTATTAATTATGACTTTCAGAAGATTTTGGCAGCAGTTATGCTATTTAATGTCTTTAAAACTTCAAATCAGTGTAAACCCTGAAGATTCAAGATCTTTCAAGGAGGTGCTAGAACAACAGAGTTATTAGTCATTTGGAAAGTATTTACAAAACAAGTGAAATTAAAAAGGCAATGATGAAATCCACCTTCTAAGATGGCAAACAAAAGACATTCAGAAGGTGTACAGATATGTGCTCAGAACCAAAGCTCTAGCATATTTGTGTGCTTTTTCCACATTCTTAAAGTTCTTTTGGGCCCTTTTACAGATTCCTTATTTTGTTTCTCTTTTTTTTCCCTCTGATTTTTTTTTTCTCCTGAATTACTGTCTGTCAGCATTTTGGCTGAGGATGATGGGAGGGAATTTTTTATTTTTTTAAACCTTTCAAAAAGCATTTTTAGTGAGGTATATGGATCATTGTTGAATAGCAAAAGGTTAGCTCCTTTCTAAGGATCAGATTTCACTATTACATTTTTATTATGAGCAGTTTTCTGTACTTTGCAAGGTGAGGCAAAAATTGGAATGCCTAAGTAATGGAGGTATAATGGTTGTGATGTATGAATGCTGAAATTATTGGTATAATGAGAGTCTTTGAAGTGCATTACTAACCTTAGTTTCCAGCGTATGGGCAGAGCTGGCAAAATATTTCCAACCTAAGCTGTCCCATGTGACTACTGTTTGAACTGTTGAAGACATCTCAGTGCCAGCACTACTACTTGGATTTACCAAAATATTTTCATACTATGAGAATTCCAGATGCTTCTTAGTGGTAGAACATAAATGTTAAAATTAAATAAAAAATTAGTAAGCTGTGTAGTATCCTTCAAAATCAGTAAAATGTACGTACATATTTTTGTAATTTCCGGTGGGTTAATACTGCGTAAGTATGGGAATTTTCCTAGTATGTTTTAAGATCTTTTATTTCCTTAATACTATAATTGCTTTTATCAGTTTCTAACCTGTCATGTCTTTCATACGCAGTTAATTAAAGTAGCGTTTGATGAAGAAGTAAGTCCTGAAGTGGTGGAAATATTTAAGAAACAGTTAATGAAGTTCCGTTATCCTCAGTCTATCTTCAGCACTTTTGCATTTGCAGCGGGGCAAACAGCACCCCAGATAATTTTACCAAAACAAAAAGAAAAGAACACTTCATTCCGGTATAGTAATTTTTCTTTTATTACTGATATTCTTGTTTAGTATTAGTCAAACACACTGAAAAATCTGACAGCTTTGCAGAAATGCAGATCATGGAAGCAGTTTTCAGGAAAGCCAGAATAACTGATTGCTATTTTGCATATTTTTATATTTGTTGAATAAAATGTGTATTAGTACAATATACATGTTGATTTGGTATAGGAATATATTATTTATCCAGGTTTCTGGCTACAGTAAATTTGAACAAGCATCTCGTTGCATTTTGAAACACACACAATATAAATAGCAGCTATGCATACTGTGCCGTCATAAAAACCAGATTTTGTGTTTATTGCTCTATAGCTTGATAATGTAAAGTGAGTTAGAATTAATTTTACCCTTGGTACAGTGTGTACAGTTTCCTAGCGTGTTTAAGTTGGAGTTGGAGCTTCGCGCCCTCTTTTGAAGATTGTTACATGTTAAGTTTTACTAGACTAGATGGGTCATTAGTCTGTTCCAGAGTGGTAGTTCCTGTGATTCTCTGTTGATTACTGCACTGTTGACACAGGAAAGTAGAATACCAAGCTAGTAATGGAATGCTAAAACTTTAAGATAATTTTTATTTTATTTTCCTGACTTTACTTCGTCAACTTTGTAGATTTATCACATTGCTAACAAAATACAAATACCTAAAGAGAGATGATGGCTGCTTGTTCATTAGACATAATAGACACAAATTCATTTCAGAATAATAAAGGAAATAATTTTTCTGGATGTTATAATTTTTGTCATTATATTAAATAAATTACAAAATATATTTTATTTGGGTAAATGGGTTTGTCGTAAAATCTGTACATGCTGTTGGGAAGAATCACATGCATCTTTCTAAATATTTTTATTGCTATGAATTTGTAGCACCTTCTCAAAAAGCATTGTGAAAGGAGCAAAACGTGCTGGGAAGATGACAATTGGACGCCAATATTTATTAAAGAAGAAGACAGGCACAATAGTGGAAGAAAGAGGAAATCGTGCAGGCTGGAATGAAGATGATGATATCTCTGGTAATCGTAAAGCATTTTTTTTTCCATGTTGGTTGATAAGTCTACCACTTATGCTTCCATTCCGATGTACTGATTAAGAGAGATCTTCAAGAAGAAATTGCAGACTCTTCCTAGAGAGAAAAGGCAAAGGTTTCAGATATCCTACATCTCGTAATTGTTTTCTTTTGTGATGTCGAGGCAAAGAGGAAGTTGTTTTCATTCAGTGATAAAGCAGAAATACAAGATGTTTATTTTTTAATTATCAAACTATTTGCACATAGTATCTTTTCTATCCTTTTTGTACGTCATAGTAGCATAAATGGAACAGCACAGAAGCATACTGTAACTTCCCCTTATCTTTAGACATCATGACATCTGCATTTAGTCTATGATGACAGGTTGGTGAGGTTCAAGAAAGAGCAAATACTGTGGGAGACTTTTGTGGATGTGGAATTGACAGATGATTTCTGAAAGCAGCAGAAGTCATACTGAAAATACTATTTTTTCAAATTTTGGTTGAAAGGATTTGGGAACAGAAGGTAGAAAGTGATTTGGGCACTTTGTACAGTTCGTCTGATGGTGTGAAGTTTGACTTTCTTCCAAATCCTTCTTTTCCTACCATGTGCTGCTGTCAGTATATCCTTATCTGGACCAGTGCTAATTTATAATAAACCACTAGAGGGAACCAGATTCTCCTGTACGTAAACAGGTATTGTTTTGTCATACCATTCTTTTTCTTTTCAGAAAATGAAGTGTTTATCAAACACTAATAATTTCTTTGAAACGTCAAACAGCTAAATTTTCCTTTTGAATTTGGTCAGTGAGCAAGGCAACTCATGTGACTTATGAGCAGATGTATAAAAGTTGTCTGAAGTAGAACTGTGCTACTGCACTGTCTCTTGTCTCCTAAATGGAAGAAGGCTATTCCAGAAAAGCTAAAAAATATTCATTCTCTTCTCTCATTGCATATAAAAGTGATGGAAAGAAGGCAAAAAGAAAGGATTACAAAATACAGAATGTCTTTACAGTGATGAAAAATTATGTTCTTAATTGAATTTCCAGCATATTCCTCAGGTGCTGAGTTAGTATGCATTCTGAGGATGCAAATTCTTTGGGTCAGAAGAAATTTTGCAGGCTTTACCTGTGTGATTTTGGGGTGATTTTTGTGCCCTTCACCCAGAGACACCGAGCACGATCATAGGCGTGTATCCGTATTCTCTGGACAATGAAGACATCTTAAGACTCTTTGCATTGCTCATGTACAAAACTACCTTCTTCCATGAACACAGGTGTTGAATAAACATTAGCGATAGTCACTTTTTTCCTCCTCTAGCAAAAATATAAAATTATAAATTGTGAGGTTTCCTACCTGCTGCTTTCCAGATGTTTTGACTAGGAATATGCACCATGATCAAAGTCTAACTATTTTTCTCTCCACACTGCACTGACACCTGAGGTATAGTCAGCTGACAACAGTAGTAACTCTTTACTTCAGACAGAATGCAAATACACATAGGAAATTTGCTTTTTAATCACTGAAATTTCTTTTATATTGACTGCTGTAAATGACTTTTTATTTCCAAGTCTCAAAAGTTGACGTATAGGGAACTATGCAGCTATACCAGTAGTGAAGCAAACAGGAACTATCTGCAGCAGGCATGTGGAAATACACCAAAAAAAATGAGATATCCAGTGTTAGACTCTTTTCTTAAATAGAGAATTGTGGATTTCATTTGATGAGCTGCAGGGGCAATAAAATTGTTCATTTAGCTTTTATGCTAAGATACACCGAAACAAAAAAGTATATCGGTTCTACTCCTGTAAATTCTGAATGTTATCTACTGCCAGTGAAATCTTATTTTCTTTAAATAAGCTTAATTTCTATTTTTATGAAGTCCTGGTTTAAACTTAAACTCTTATATACTTTTCAGTGTCTCATTCGTGAAGAACTACTTGCCCTCATACGCACATATTTCAATGCTCGAGGTAGTAGCAAGTAACTGATCCATGCTGTGAAGAGTAAATCTGCTTTCAGAAGTATTTGGAAATAGTTGAAAGTGTCAGTAAGAGGCAGGTGGCAGGTTTTGTACGAAGACCTTGCTTGACTTGAATTTCAGTGTAATTTGAACTTGTGATATGGGTTTTATCTCTCTTGGTTAAAGTTTTTTCTGTTTTGGAAAACGCTGCTGACGTGCGTGGCTGAAGAAAGCTGGCGTTTGACTTTGAAACTGAGGCATTAAGAAACTAACAGTCATTTGTTGTGAAATTATGATGCAGAAACATTTTTTATTTGAACCAAGCCTGAAAAAGATTGTTGCATCTTATGAAGATACTTTAAAAGAATTGCGAGGTCCATTTTGTCTTAGATGATTAATGAATTTATGTGCACATTTTTCATTATTCTACCTTGTGTACATCTTTGTATAGCGGTTATGAGTTTAACTGGCTTTCATAACCTGTTGAAAGAAAGATTATCTCCCTTTGGTTCAGCTGATAGAATCATAGAATGATTTGAGTTGGAAGGAACCTCAAAGATCATCTTGTTCCAAACCCCCTGCTGTGGCAGGGACATCTCCCACTAGATGAGGTTTCTGAGATGAATATATAAGATAACTTTTTCCAGGATTTTAGTGAAAGAGTTGTCAGCCATGCCAGTCACAAGTTCAGTAGGTAACTGTACAACATAACCAGATTTCCTGACTAAAATATTATTTTATTGCTTATAATTTCTCAAAACTTTGATTTCTATGTATTAATTCTTGTAATTCATTACTGACAGTAAGACAAATTCATATTTTGTTCAGAAGAAAGTAGTGTTGTTTTCTATGTAACTGCTGGCCTTCCCAATGGCAAAGTCTTAAAGATTTTTAACTTTAGTTTCAGATGACAGCGAGCTGCACACAAGCGGTACCCTAAAAGCGTCAGAAAAATCAACAATGGAACAATTAGTAGAAAGAGCCTGTTTCAGAGACTATCAACGTTTGGGACTAGGGACCATCAGTAGTAACTCCTCTCGCTCAAAAACAGAATACTTAAGAATAACTGCACTGAACAGGATGTATTCACTTTGCAGGAGGTGGGTTTACTGACTCAGACAAGTATTTGAAAATGAAGATGACATATCACACCTCCTACATGATGCATTTTAGCAACTTTCTTTGAGAAAGCTTTTGTCTACAGTAGGAGTGTTCAGCCAGTGACCTTGAATCTATTTGTATTGCACTCAGAGATTTGTCTTCTGGTGGCTGCTTACGTATTCATCCGATTCAGAAAGGCTGCCAGCAGTGGTAGCTGGAAGGGAGCTTTCAGAACTGTTCCAGAAGCTTTGTCTTCCTTCATAGGTTCGTTCTATAGCCCGTGGAAAGAGAGTGTCCCTGGGGATTTTGGAGGAGGCTAACCTAGATACTCTGAATTGCCTTTTGAAGGAGTTTCTCTCTCTTGGCTTTCTACACTGATGTCTAATTCTTTAGGCTGTTTTTCAGCTTTCTGACTTAGCCAACAAAGTTAGCTGGTAGAACTCACTCTCTCCATATGGTTTCTACAACTTGCTGTGTTGGTGCTGGAAGTTATTTATGTGAAATACTTGCATATAAAATCTCTTCTGTTCTTAAATTAAAATTGAATTCATGGACGTATCTACACTGCTTTAAAATTTTGTCACGTCCCAAAAGTCACGTGCTGTGTTTTAACACATTGATGTTACTAACTCCTTTTTTATTGTGAAAGCTGGTGTAGTTCACTACCACGACCCACAAAAACTCTTTTTAATACAAAAGCCTATCTACACTGGTCATATCATGAGAGCATCTGCTTTCTGCAAAACCAGTTTTGACTAGTCAGTGCTTTCATTATGGATAATGAAATCACCAGTTCTTCGTGGAAGATGGACACACAAGAAAAACATTAGATCCTGTCTTGTTTTCTGATTTACCTAGAGTAGCAGACTAGTGACTGGTATTGTTCAGTCACCATTGAGCACAACGCACATGAAGGCATTAAATTTGTACGTTTTCTTTATGTTTTGAACATTTTGCAAACAATTCCTTCCTCACCTAAATCACCAGGTTTTAATATTCTGTAGGATTTTTTTGAAACGATAACTAATATCTGAGTGAATTACAAATCTCAGGATATAGATACTTATCTAGTGCCGTATTGGTTTGATTACTAGGTTTTAAGAAGTAGACTGTATCGTGTACATTTATTGAACTGCCCTCATACAAAATCAATGTCAAAAAAATGAATTTATAGGAACAGTATGTATTGCACAAAGTTGTTTAGTAGGCACTGACTTTTCCCTGTATTTCGTCTTAGTTGCTACTTAACATGTGAAATTATCACTTAAACTGAATATTTTTGGAGGAGGTAGAAAATAATCTTTTCTGTTATTTGAATCCTTCTTTCAGTAACATGAATGCAACTACCATCTTGCTGGGATTTCTATTTTTATAGAATTTTTTTCTTTTTGTCAATTCATTTTTTAATCTCTCAGTGTATTGTAGTGCTTTAAAAAGTACACAAAAATGCAGTTTCAAATAGACTATTCCTAGGAATCTTACTGTAAAATTTGAATGTATTTTGACATAAACCAAAACCTATTGTTTTAGTTGTGACACTTCAGGCAATCTAACATTCTTTCTTTTCAATTCTCATATTTCATTTACAAGTGTCAAAACAAAACTACTGCATCATTTGCATGCCTCAAAAGTCTATTTTCTGCCATGCCTAAAAATATGGCTTCTTTATAGTGACAAGTAAGAGATATACTAAGAAGATAAATGCCACCAAATAAAGTACAACCGTAAATGGGAGGAGGCTAGTAGTGATAGTCTTACAATTTTTTTCATAACTGAACTTGGTTTTAAAATGCAGTTTTCTTTACAAATTAATATATTTGCTAGAATTGACCAAAAATTAGAGTTACTAAATGAAAAATAATTCTAGCAGTCGAGGTGTTTTTTCCTAAAGATATGTATTCAGCTTGTAACTTTAGGAATTTTTTTTTCTGTTGTTTGAAATTTTGAAAGCAATTTTAATTGTTCAATATTTTTCACGTTTTTTTGTCAATAAAGTTATCCTGGGCTTCTGGTAGTACCTCAGTCTATTCAAGACAGCAGTCTGCAGAGGGTTGCTCGCTGTTACCGTCACAATCGCCTACCAGTTGTCTGTTGGAAGAACACTAAAAACAGTACTCTTCTACTTAGATCTGGGGGCTTTCATGGAAAAGGTGTAGTTGGCCTCTTCAAATCTCCAAACACACATACTACAGGTGAGTGGATGCAGCTAGGCTTTCTATATAAGTAATTTTATGTGGAAAGACTTGGGTTTTTTAGAGGAAAACAGTGATACAATTGAATCAAAGTCTGAAGATATGAATGGTTTTCTTGTATTATATTAGTACAATTTAATTACTGTATATCAAGAAGCATACCTGAATGGTATGAAAGTTGTTCCAAAATGTTAGTGAATAAATTGAATAGAAATTATATATGTACCAAAAGTCTTCAGTAAAAGCCGCCAAATGCAGAACCCCCTGCTTTCAGTAAAAGCTGCCAAATGCAATGCAAAATTCCCCCCTTTCCCCTAAATTATCTTCTTCCTTTGCACAGGTCTTTTCAAAATGTCCTTTGAAACATGGCGGTTGGTTTCTGAACTTCACGTCAGCCTTTCTGCAAGCTTTAATATGACATTCTACACCAGAATCACCAAGTATTTTCACAGGCTATCCTTAAATTTCTTTTGCCACCTCCTGCTACTTAGGTTATTGTCTGTTAGTGTCCAGCATAGAGTCTGATCAGATCATCACTGGCGAAAAACTACTTACAAGCTGCCGTTGTGGTTCATGGAAATATGCTCTTGTTCTTTGACTCTCTGTCATTCCAAATCTTGGCTCCTGTGGTCAAGACACCAAATCCTGGTTTAAGCAGCTGTGATATTTTTGCACTACAGTGAGTCCAGAGGTGGCTGCAGTAAGCTAGGATGCAGGAAATTTTGTTGGTCACAGAATGTTAGGGACTGGAAGGGACCTCCAAAGATCATCTAGTCCAATCCCCCCACCGGGGCAGGAACCGATTAAGAATGGACACTTTTTTCTATCTTAATAGAGGACCTGACCTTCATCTCCTTGCCTTCATTTAAGTTCTTGCACCTGGACATGAATGGGTGTATTTTTTTTTCTGGTTAAGATTAAATTATTTTTTTTCTTATTTTTGAGGGTTTTTTTTCTTGGTTCTGTGTTTTGTTACTGGTTTCTTAACTTTTTTCCAGTCTTAAGATTGTGAAGTTAAGACTGTCTGTTTAACTTCAGAACTTCCTCAGAGCCTCATGTCTTCTCATCTTGCTTTTTTTTTTTCCTTCACTTCCTATTTTTAAATTGCATCTGTTTCCTTTCTGGCTTTGCTTTCATCCAGTCTTTTGCAGCCACTTTGCTCTCTAAAATGGCCCTTCTCAATGTCGTCAGCTACTTAAGCATCATCAGTACCAATTGGAAAATTATTCCGTGTTTGAGATCTGTACAGTAGTCCTCTGAAACTGCATCCATGTACAGGATTATTCAGAGGTTTTCAGAGAAAGAACTGTAGTTCCCACAACAGTGCAGCCCCAGTCTTCCTATGAGTTATGTAAGCACATGGGAAGACACTTTCTCAAGTTACCTGCAGGTAACCAAAGGAGCAGGTAGTCAATCACTAGGGAACAGGAACATTTCATGATCGGAGATCCCTTAACATATGTTATCCAGGTGTACATGCACTGTTCATCCTCTTTTCTCTCTTCTTAATTCCATGAAAAAGATCAGATTCTGGGAGTAGGGTGCCTGAAGGACATGTAGGTTGTGCCCATTGATGTCTCTAAGTGCAGCAGAGTATGTGAACGCTGGTGTATCTTGATATGTCTGTACTTTCAGTGAATGGGCAATATATTTCAAGGAACCTACAGTTACAGGTAAGTAGCCTTCCCTTAATGAAATAAGGAAGACCTGGCTGAGTATGGTTTTAACTTTGTTAGAGAAACAGTTTTATCTGTTCTCTACACATTTCTTTAAAAGGCTGAAATTTGCAGACAAGTAACAAATTTAGAACTGCTACTTTTTATTCTGTGAGTGAAGGAAGAACTACATAATCTCCACTCTGTTTGTGTTGATCACTGGTTAATGATGATGTTGACCATGAGTTAACAGATGCTTTAAGAAGTTGAGCTTTGTGGAGAACATTGCTGGGTGCTGCTCTGCAGCCAGGTGGTGAACATCTGAGCATTCTTTGTCATCAAAGGAGTGGCTTTTTGAACCTTTGTTAGATAAACCATGACATTTTCAATGCTATGTTTTGCACAGTAAGTTTTGTATTTTGCTGTTATATGTATTTATAAATATACTTGTATTTTAATGTATTCCGTTCCTCTTGTGACCCTAGCTCCAGCTTCTTTAGAATCTTCAAGCAGTATAGAACAGGAAAAGTACCTACAAGCCTTACTAAATGTGATATCCGTCCACTGCAAAATGAATGGCAGTAATACTCTCACGGTTAGACCAACAATTGCTCTGTCTCCAGGTAAAATTATTGAAAAGTGAGTTTTCTCTGATTTGAGGTTAGTTCAATGTCCCATATGAATTCTGTTGTTTCCAGGTAGCTTATTCACTCAAGTTTCAGTGAATGTGTTTCAGTATGTAAAGGACGTTTATAATCTTTCCCAAAATATTTTTCAGTATTCTTAATCTCACAGTAAACAATTACCTGCCCGTGGGTCATAGCTTTTGATGAAATTCACTTGAGTGTGATAGTCAGTCTTGAGGCATTAGTAATTTATTACAATTTTGGAACAAATAAAATAAAGTTTTGCAGACTATCAAGATGGCAAAACTTTCCTTTTTTTTTCCCCCCATCAAATTCAGCAATTACATTATGTAACAGAATCAAAATCAAACATACACTTTAACATTTTTTATTGTAAATTAAACATAATGAAGATTGTATATTGAATAAAAGACTGCCAGATTGAAGAGAACTGAAACTACTACACTATTTCATGTAATGAGAAAATACAAAATTGCCAGCTCAGATTTTACGTGAGCAGATACACACGCTATTTAGCTGCAGCAGTAATGAAAGGTATATAAGTATTTTCATATGTCTTAGAATATCGTGATGGGCTTTTAACGCTATTTCCATGTAGAGCTTTACTTGGGATGAAAACATTTCAAAATACACTATTTGAGTTATGCGTATGTGGAGCCATGAATAAATGAATCCATGTTTTATTTCAGTTATTATGTGATTAAACCTGCTAAGGTTTATGTGAAGGTAACCCCAATGTCTTAGAAAGAGTAGTATGTGGCTTGAAATTGTGTCTGTCTTGTCCTACTCAGTTGGTGGTAATTGGCCTAATATAGCCAAACAGTGGCTTTTCTTGTAAAATAACACCATTCTCAAAGTGTGCATACTTGGCTTCATTTATTGTAAAACGTGTTGACTGCTTAGCTATAGCTAACATCTCCATCCTGTTCCCAATGTGTACATCTGTTTAAAAAAATTAATTTGAAGTGCAAAATTGGCAAGAATTAGCCTCATTGTGTGAAAAAGGGCATTTTATCAGTTATGTTGCATGCTAGTCTGAGTAACAGTCTAGTTTTTTAATCTTCTATTCTTTTTTTGGCTGACTTTAGGCACTGAAAGGAGGGCTTCAAGAATGTCTACTGTGTTTAAGCAGGTAGTGCCAGGACATTTGGATGTAAATCTATCCAATAGCTTTGCTCGAGGAGGTTAGTAAGACTAGCTCAAAGTCTATTATTTGAAGTAATAATTGATAACAAAATGTTAGTGGAATAAAGATTGTAACACTGCTTATCAATTCATTACTCTGAAGCAACAAAATAGAAATTACAGATTAGCCTCAGTCCTTGACATTATTTAAGTATCTACTTTCTTTTAAGTCCTTCACTTACAATTGAAATAAAGCTTATTTAATATTAAAAATTAGCGGACAATTAAGCACTCAGTTAGGAATTCTGTTTCAAAATACTTTGTGGTTCATCTATACTTTTAACTTATCTAAAACGCATGGCCTGAAAATGCATGTTTTGTATTAGTATTGAATGCACTTTAAAATCTCCCATTACGGGTCATTTGGTTTCAGATTAGCCGGTGCTTTATAAAGTTAAGAAAAAGCTACCTGAATAATTTTACTGGAGGTAAAAGGAGGGAGTTATGTGGCCCCATGTAATAAATAGGGAGATACGGCGTGTTCTTTGGGCATAGTTATTCTTAGGTACAAGGGTTCATCAGTGTCATTTCTATAAGAAGCTTTCATTCTGTGAAGTGGATTCCAACTACTTTTACTCTTCTAGTCTGTTGAAATGGTTATGATTTTTTACATCCAATACATGCATACATTAGTTCATCAGATTCCTTAAATAGATGTTCATCATAGGCATGAATCCATTTCTCAAAAGGAAACATTTCATATTCTGTTTATTCCCTTTTAGCCCTGAAACTTCCTTTCACGATTGTTTCTAAGCATCTAAAGGTTGCTTATCTTCCTTTTTGAACCTCATCTAAAATGAGTTAGACCTACTTGACCTGCTGATAATGTGATAGAAAAACTGTAGCTTCATATGAGGAAGAATAAAACAATTTTGTGTAGAAAAATTTCCAAAAGAGATGAACAGAATTAGTGAAATGAAGGAAGGAAGAAGGCGGGAGGGAGAGAGAAAGGAAAGAAGGGAAAATACTCAGAGCTGTATAGAGAAGTTACCTGAGAATTGTAGCAGAAGGGGAGAAGGGCAGTTAAATGGTGATCACCAAAAACTGGAAAATTTTGTGCATTTTTGTTAATCATAGGATATGCATATCTCAATATAAAAAGTCTTTGTATGTTCTCGGCTCTTTTTATTGTAGTACACGAAGATGAAAAATATAGTGAGTTTAGCTGGATAGGTGAACTGGCCAGGGCCCTAAGAGAGCAGGAGTTAATAGCATCTGGAATTGTTAGATAAGTTGGTAGCGGTGCCCAGCTTGACTTGGTACTGAAATAACGAAATGCTGGGTAGCTGACAGCAGACGTTTGGTTGTGTTCCATCCCCTGTGTGCCAACAGCAAAGTGGTGCTGAGGGGGCAGTGAAGGTGCTGCACGTAAGTAAGGGAACGTTTGCTGATCGGCTGTATGGACGTTGTCTTTGGAAGATAAAGTATTACTGAAATAACTGTTGCCGGTGTCTGGGATTAGAGTTTGTGGTAAGTGTGATAATATGAGCTTGTTGCTACTTGGTGTAGAGAAAAAGGAGACTCAAGGCAGCATTAGGTCACAGACACGTTGTTTTGTTGGACAGAATTCTCTTGTCTAAATTTCCTCAGTAATCAGGAAGAGGGCAGAGAAGTTATCTTGTGTCTTGTTGGATTGATGCCACAGCTGCTCTGTGTATCTGAAAGGTGTAATTGCAGCCTAGTATCTGCCTTTTTTGCAGGATACACGAGGACTTTGCTGAAAATAAGAATGTTTGACGAGTACGATGGGAGCCCTAGTGAAGGTGAGAAGTTGACAGGCTAAGGCAGAACAGGGAAAGGGAATATCTCCCTCTAGAGAAGCAAACACTAGACTTTTTAGATTAGCTAACACAATTCTTTTAGAAGAAACTCTGAAATACACAAAATATAGAGAATCTCTAAAATTGTTGTTCTCAAATAAATTGGTTCATGTGAAGCAGTGTAACAGAAGTGCAGGACCAAAAATGGAGGACAAAAAGGACTTATGCAGGCGGTCTGGAACTGGTGTTTTCTCTCTCCTTTGTATTCCTAAGAATAACTCAAAACACAAAATAAGGAAAAAAAAGGACAATGAGTTTAGCTAGTTACTTTATCATAACAAAAAAAGGACAACGAGTTTAGCTAGTTACTTTATCATAACAAGCTATGGGTTATGCACCACATTCTACAAAATAGAATAGCAGTATTTTTGTGGTTTTGATTCTGGATCTCTCTTTCTTTTCTTGTTTTTATTCTCACACATACCAGGGCTCAAAAAACAGGTTATGCCAATTAAAAATGACATTTTCTAATTTTTGTGCCAAAAAAAAATGTATTTTTAATGCATGTTCTTTTAAAATTTAAGTTAAAAAATATGTGCCAGTGCTTGACTAGTATCCCTCATTTTTAAAAATCATCAGTGTTCTGAATACTCATCGATTGTCTTGAATATTCGTGTCTGTGCCAGGTATTGTTTTTCACTCTATCTGGAACGTTGTAACAAAGTATTTGCTTGGAGCCCGGTTAAGTTGTTTTTGACCTGAAGTATTTGGCCAAATACTTATATTTCATAATATATTTTCATTCTTGGAACATTTTTTTTGGCAATACCTTGGGTGATATCTTTCTTAAGAACTGTAAGTTCACTCAAAATACATACCTTTTCTACTTATCTTAATTTATAAGTAGTGTCGTTCTACAGAATAGCACTTCTTACCTGGCATTGTTGTATAATTTAGTAGAATAAAATGTTTTCTCAGTATGATTTGCTGCTGTTGGAAAAATACTAGGATATTCATAAGTAGTAAATACAGACTTAGCTCAGTCATTTCTTTTTAAAGCAGGAGATGTTAACATTTTGAGTATGTTTTATTAGAATATTTGTATTAAAAGAAGTAGCTTGGGCTGATGTGGCTTTTGAGCCAAAAATATGTCCTCTGATAAGCATATAAGGCTCCCACTGAAAATGAGAACTTTTGCAAGGAGGGAGAAAGTCTCTTGGTGTGATAGACATTGTATGTTTTCTAAATTATATACTTTTACACAGTCCTTTAAAATTCTTTATAGGTGTGTAGAACTAACAACTTATCTGCTGATTTGATTTTGAATTCCATCAAATTATGTACCTAAAATAGACTAAAAGAGGGTTTTTTAAAAAGTACTGAGGTTGGCATTTTGAATTAAGCTACCTTGCAGCTGGTTAGAAGCTTTCAATAAAATACTCAGCAGAGTGATTTAATTGTTAAATTTCCTTTGGTATTATAATTATGGAAGAACACGTGGTGGCTGTGCAATATGTTTGAAACTATGGTGTTGACAATGAAGATTACTCCTTTTTGATAAATGAGCACTTCCTTCCCATTTTATATTGGTTTTCTGGCTTAACTGATGTTTTGTCTTGTGATGACTAAGTTTTGTACTGTCTGATAAATCATGTATTATAAAGAAATTCATATATGCTAGATCTTTGGAAGTTAATAAGTAACCCTTTTCTTTTCTCCTGCAATGTGTCTCGCTGCAATGTGCATTCCATTCCTCCTCCTTCTGTCTTTACTGTTATCTACCAGTGCTTGGGTACAGAGATAAATGTTTCACTCATTCAAATTCCAAATCAGCAACTAAGGGAAGAGTCCATCAAGGTACTGTATTCTGTGTACTGAAAGCACGTTCTTTTCTCTCATCTCCATAACTGCTACAATATCTTAATACATGCTAGAGTGATACTGACAGAAAGCCTTGATTCTGCGTTAACAAAATGTTGTTGGTTTTAGTTCAGTGTTGTGGTTTTGGTTTTTGTTTTGAAGGTTTTTGGCCATTGAATGTGTGATGCGGTGACAGTGATTAGTCACACATTTCACTATGTCATTCTGTAATACTGTTATGTTAAGCAGAATGATGTTATGAAGAATGATACGTAGAAAAGTTGCTGTGTGAAGATTTTAAACAGCAAAAGTGAATTCCACAAAAGAGCAGTTTTAGTAAAATAGCTAAACAATAGTGTTACCTTGTCAATGAACTTTCTTTACAAAACTATTGTTAATGTTAGCGAACAGGGAAAAATTGTTTTCTGCCAAATTAGAATCACTGTTATTCATCACTAGTAAACATGTTCATCTACATGTATTTGTAACCAGTTTTGTTGCTTTCGATGTGCTCCAGGCTCTAATGATGACCTGCATTTGTGAAATGTCAGAAGGTGACCCTGTGGTTGGGTCTATATTGTCTTTGGGGACAGCTGTCTGTATTGGAACTAGTATTTTTTCATACCAGATAAGCAAGAAATAATTTCTCTTATTATTTGCTGCTTACTAAAGTCTGTATTGTTTCATATGTAGTAGCTGAGATGTGGAAAAGAAGTTTATACTAAACATGCTATTTGACTATGTGTGAGGTATTTTATAAAAGTTGCTCTCTCTGAGGTGGAAACTCTTTAGAACTGGTACCAATTCAGAAGTTCCTAGCCAACAGTTCTCAGTTACTCCTGTTTCTTTGCTCACATCTAAGACTAGCAGCCAGGCAGGCAGACAAGCTGAACTGTACAGACGAGTCCCTGATGAGGATTACTGTACAGAATTATTCTTTCATAGGAACATAATCCTGCTTTTAAAATACAGAATAAAATTATTGTGCCAGTTGAGCTGTCTCAGTGGAATTCTACTGTTTTCTGCAGCTTTTTCTTCTTCTGTGAAAGAAATGCTAACTATGCATATGGATTTTCCTGAAGGGGTTGAAGGGTTTTTCTGATACTGTAATATCTAAATTTCTGCTGCTATGAGGTATTTCTGGTGCCTCTTCTGGATATCCTGCTTCACAGATTTACGGACAAGAGTCTTTTCTCATAATCTGATTTACTGCATATTGGGTTAAAGAATTTCACCCTGGCATTCGAATGACAAATTCAGCATACTTTAAGGGATTTGATTTTCAAGTACTGCTATTTATATAATGAAAATCAAGTACCTTTCACATACCTCACACTGGATACACAAAAATAGTCTCAGAAAATCTTTATTAACCGAGCCACCAGAAACAGAAAAGTATTTGCTAGTTTTCTTGTGCTAATGCTGAACAGACCTTGGCAATCTGGTTTATCACTACTTTACCTGACGTTGAAATCACAAAACTTAAGCATGATCAGATGCAGGCGTGCCTGTGTGCTACAGAAATGTTCTCCTCTGGAAATGACAGGGTAGCTGCATCAGGAAGGCACAGTGTGCAGACGGAAAATGCTTGTGAGAGGCAGTGGTTATGAGGTTGGTACAATGCCCTTCAGATCGTGCTGTGCTGCCTTCAGGTGCAAGTTCACAGCACGCCGCCCTGTTTCAGGCCCTGTCGTTGGTAGCTTTGGGATTTCTGTGCCATGCCCCGCTGCTGCAGTACTGGTGGTCTTACTGCCGGATCCAGACTGTAACCCTGTGATCTCCCCAGCTGGCATCCCTCTCTCTGCTCACAAAACTGTGCTAAGTCACGTCTGCTGGAATATGGTTGTGAAACAGATGGCTAAAAAAAGAACTTCCTTAAATTCATTTTTATTTCTAATTGTCCATTAGACATGGATGATTAAAACCTAAAATTCATTGCATTTTGCATTTTAACCATGGCATTTGAAGAGTAAATATGGAGTACTTTATCCTGAAATGTAATATTTTAATTGATCATCTTTATCTGCATTTTCATTATAATGTGATATGGTTGATACTGTTAATTTGTGTAAGGGAAAAGGAATACAGAATTCTGAGTGACGGGGAGTTTTAAGTGATACCATTTTTATTTTTGAAGAAGATAATTAAATTATATTCTTATTAGTTTGACTTCCAAAATAGTATGTCTTTGACAAGGGGTACATGAAATTTTTCTCCTGACTTCAGGAAAGAACAACACGAGCAATTTTATTTTCATACACTTAAATAGATGTAAATTACTTGCAAGGTCGTGATTCATTTTGTCTTTGTATCACTGATATCATAGTAACCATTTCCTCTACAATAGAATGCACTGTGCAGAGTTTGATTAGTATCTTAGGTTAAATGACAGTGCAGTAATATGCTCTTGACAATTTTTGTTACGATATTTCTTTCCAGTGCCTGCTTTTAATTATGTCCTGTGAGGGATGAAAATAACATTCTTAAGCACTCCGCAAATTATATTTTAGACTATGCTGTAATAATTATGATCTCCAGTGCTTCATGCAAAGAGGTTTTTAATTTTTTTTCATCTTTATGAAGGTGTATGGGCAAGTCTTCGTTCAAGCAACCGATTTATCAACACTCAGACTCCATTCATTGATGTTGGTGCAAGACTTGCAGGGAAGGATAACGCCACTTCCTACAGTAGCAGCACTTTTCTACAAAGTCAGCTTTTGAGACGGCAAGCAGCCCTATATATATTTGGAGAAAAATCTCAGTTACGGGTAACAGCAAGTTTTTTTTTTCCCATGTTAACAGGCTTTTTATTTGACTTGAATTAAATAACCCTGATATAACAGTAAACAATATTCTAGATAAGTTGATGAATAACCCACCTAAAGGTGTAAACTCTTGTGAGGATTATTGCCATGTGCAGAATAAAAATTGATGCTCTATAACCCAGTGGATGCTGGGGGAGTGAACATCAAGCTCCATGGTTACATAATACAACTACATCATCTTAAAAGAGCAGTTAAAGACCAGGCTCGAACTCACAGAAGTTGTGTAAGTAGAGCCCTGTTTGTCACTTTTGGTCAAGTGCTGACGTGTAGTAAAGCTAAGAGATACAAAGATGGGTAACATGACTAGAGGAGTGGAGTAGCTTTTGTACCAGATAAGAACATTCAAGTTGGGAAAGACATGACTAGGAAGGAAATACATTGCTGGGCAACAGAGCATCCAGCAATGCCTTTACATTTAGAGGTCACCATGTCTTTCCTGTCTCTCTGTGCTGGCTTTGCCAGGATCAGGGGCAGCAGAATCTGGTCCTGCTCGGAGTAGCTGCTAGGGTAAGGATGAGTGCTGCGACTGTGGGCACAGGCAGTGGGGCTGATGTAGCGGCAGTGGCAGTTGCTGCCCCTTTTGGAGACTGTTCAGAGGTATTCCAAGGGAAGTGCTGGAGTTCTGGATCTCTAAGTTCTTGCCTTCAGAGACACACTTAATGGCACCTAAATATATACCACTGCACTCCAATTCTGCTGACTACTCATCTGATACAGCTGAGTCATCATCTCAGTGATTTCTGCTTTGGGAAACGTGAGGTAGACTTATTTGGTGATTTAAAGTGCAATTTTATTGTTCCTGATGTGTTGAAATTTAAGGGTTACTTTTTTTCTGCTTTATTGCACTACTAGAATCTGTCCTGCACTATTCATATGTCATCCATATGGTTATTTTAATTTCTACTTAATTATTGTTAATTTACTTTAAAACCCCTAAAAGAAGCACGTTACTCAACAGATGTATCACTCAACTTTGTGCATTTTTAACTACTACTATGACTTCTACTACTACTACTACTACTACTAATAATAATAATAATATGGCTGCCATGCAGTGCATTCTGCTGTTAGGAATAGTGAGTACTTTGTTATGGTACATTTTGCAAGTGTTGTAAAGGTTTATATTGTTCTGGGAAGGTATTTAAGTAAGCAGATTTTTAATTAAGAATTTAAATAATTAGCAATAAAGCGGGTAAGACTTTGAGATTTAATGAGACTGTCAGTGGAAAATACGCTTTGCTTTTAAATTACATCTGCTGTTACCCTTTTCGTGCAGGGATTCAAACTTGATTTTGCATTGAATTGTGAATTTGTTCCTGTTGAATTCAGTGACATTCGACAGACAAAGGCAAGCTTTAAAAAACTGATGAGAGCTTGTGTTCCCAGCACTATTCCTACAGATTCTGAGGCAACATTCCTTAAAGCACTTGGGGAATCAGAGTGGTTCCCACAGGTAATTTATATGACAGGTACTTTTTATAATCTATATGCAATACTGCTTACACAAAATAAATTTCAGGCTCTTCTGACAGAGAACTGTTGTGTTCTAAGCAGCTGTTCTTCTTTGTTCATTGTAATTGTTTTGCATGCTATCAATTCAGTATTAAATAAGCATTATTATTTTAATACGGTCCTAACATTTACAAATCTGGGAGGCACTTTTTGTAACAATTTATGGTTTATAACATAGAACATGCACATAAGCAGAGAAGACTGTTTTTTCTGCCTATATAAGTTTATGATCTTGGTTTCAACTGCTTTTTTCTTATTTTATATATTTTAAAAATCAGAAGAAAAAAATAGAGCAATAAATGAGCCTTCTGATTTTAAAACCAATATTCTACTCTTCATATGTGTTCCCACCCCAAATTTCCATATCACAAGTGTTTAACAAACAAACTAGCATCTGTTATGGGATATGGATAAGGGTTTGCAAGGGAGAAGAGGAGATTGGGGGGAGTGTGTGTGTGTGTGTGTGTGTTAATCTGTTCTCTCTGAATCTGTTCCTTTATTTCTGTTTTCCATGTTCTCTTACATAAGGTTGACCAAACAAAGGCAAGACTGGAAGTAACTTTGCAAGGCTCAAATTAAGAAGGATCTGGGCAAATCAGCTCTTTGTAAATCTAAAACCATTTTAATTATAGTGAGTGTTTTTTTAACAGTTGAATGTAATGTTTGGGGATCCTCTGCTGAATAGATTCTTCTCAAATGCAATTAATCTTAAAAACAGAATAAACTTTTGTGCAGATTTCTAAAGGAGGAAATTCTGATGTGTAATTACACATCAGGAAATGTACTCCTGGTTGAAATGTGCTACAGTGCAAGGAGTGGCTTAACTTCTTCCCCTTAGAGAACACACGATTTGGTCATTGCTGTGTCTGGCCACCACGTTCTTGAAGAGCCTGAAGCCTGGGCTCCCATCATGCAAACATTTTTTATCACAGAGTGGTTGAGCAAGTTGATATAAGTGTAGATAAATGAATTGAATGTCACTTTGATGGAATAAACACGTCCCTGTAGCAGCACAGAGATCAAGGGGAGATTGTAACATCGGCGTTGCTCTGTTCTGGAGTATTTGAGAGGAAGAGTAATAGTGTATCACTCTGTGTGCAGGTCTGGATCCTAATGTCACACGCTAGTTGTGTGCCATTTAAACCACATTTCCGTGGTTTAAATCATGTCATGTGTGACTTATGTGATAAAGTTAATTTATGACTGATTTGACACCTTTTCTACTATTCCTGTGAAACAACATATATCTGTCATCTTGGAAATGTACTTTTGTTGTGTTAAGCTTTCCTCTCCTGGGCAACAGAAGTTACACAGTGTTGATTTTAAAAACGTATAGGTTAAATATTTCTTTATGAGAATGTGAAGATGTAACAAGAAATTCAAAGTGCTGCCCTATCTTCTCAATACCTGTGATAAAAATAGTAATTTGCGGGTTTTTTTCAATCAAATCTATATAACAAGACTGTATTGGTTTTGTTCATTAAGGACAGCAAAAAGCAGCCCTTACTTGGTTCTGCTGACTAAGAAAATGTAGAACAAAAACTGCCTGGTTTTACAAGTGGTAGTCTTATATCTTTTCCTATTAAAAATTGCAGGAAAATTACTTTCTTTCATTTCCTGAATAATGGAAATGTTAACATTCAGGGGAGTTAAATGTTTTCCATCGCGATTTCCATGGTATTATTCATACAACTGGTGTTTTTTTAAGTGGAAAACGTCAGACTGCCCTAAACAAGGATGAATTTTCTAGGGTTTAAGTGTTGTTTGGTTGATCTTCTTTTCCTCTTATTTTCTCCAATTTTGTTCTCCCTCACTTTCCTCTGCCTTTTTGAACTTACTTTTTTCCTTGCATCGGTGATCTTACATGTCTCTTGCCATCTTTTGTTTATGCATCTTCCTATACTGCTTTCTCCCTTCTTTCAAGCTTTCATCTTTCCTACAGGTGCTCTCAGTTGGACTGTAGTCAGTGCTCTGCAAAGGGCAGTTTCATTGCGCAGTAAAAACTGAATTGCTTGCATATTGTCTATAGGGTTGTTTAGCAAGACTGCTGTCATAGTATGAAAAATGGTAGAAACATCCTAGAGATTTTTCTTTTAGTAAGGATAAAGTAAAATAAAATCACTCAAGTTCACCTAAATTTTTTAACCTGCTGATACCTATCATGGTTGAATCAATCTCATTCAAGTCAATAATACTTCCTAGAGAAATCAATTAACCCAGCTACTCAAGGAATTCTGATATCACTGCATAATGACTATTAGAATGCAAATGATTAATGTGGCCTCTTTCCATATGTTTTAGTCAGTTTGCCCAGGAATAAGAAACACTGCTTAATCTATCTAAACTATTTCCAGATTATAGAAGTAGGGTTTTTCTGTGTTTGCTTTTAGGTTTGTGATTTACTTTTTTCATCATTATTACTGTTGTTGGTTTTGTTGTTGATGTTATTAAATTCATTCATTTCCAACTTCCATGGGATCTGAGCGTTAGAAATATTATCTTTTAAATATCTTAGACGAATTCTCCTATCAAAGTACGTAGTGAGTTTATGGAACCTTAACATTTCACAGGAAATTATTTTAGTGTTAGGCCCCGGATGGAATTTCTCTACAATAAATCTGTCAGCTGTGTTGTTCCCATTCCCTTTTTATGACAGCTATTTTATTACAGTACTCATTGGTTTTAATGGTTTATGTTCCTATCTTCAAATCTTTGCTTAGTTTCGTTATAGTTCAAATGAAAATCCCAAGAGTGTTATATTTTATAGCTTTCTAATCTGTTGCATCAATGCACTTCTCTGTGCTATATGTAGATTTCAGAATACATGTTCTAAGACTTCATATGAAAAGATTATTATAATATACTCAAGTATTTTACTTAATTGTAATACTTTATAGCTTCACAGGATAATGCAACTGGGTGTGATTATCTCAGAGCTCCTGGAAAATGGTTCTTCTGTAATGGTTTGTTTGGAAGATGGCTGGGATATTACTGCACAAGTAAGCTACTATTAAAACCTTGCAATAGCTAAATATTAAGAAAAAACTGATGATTTGGTATGACATTAATAAATCTGTGTTTTGGCAGCAGAGAAGAAACTAGAATGCATGAATCCTTGCATTCATTTGCAGTTTAGATCATGAAAGAGTTCCTTGAAATGTATTTATTCCAAAAATCCTGATGGACTTACTAAGACTTAGATGCAAAATCATCATTCCGGCACCTGACCATATATAAAAATGAAAGCTGAAAGTTGCCACAACTGTTTATCTTCGTAAACATAGTATGCTTTAAACACGGGAGGGAAGGAGAGGAATTCTTTTTCTTGCCATTGACTTTCCGTAAATGAAATTAATAGACCACACACAGGGAGAAAACAAAGTTTGTGCCAAAGTAACTGTAACACCTGCTGCAAGGACAGATCATCACAGCAGAAAACTTTCTGAAACAAGCTATAAATTAGGTGAATGAAGACCCACTGCTTCATTTAATGGACTCATTGTGTCTGTAGTTACTTCATAATTAAGAAGATAAACAGAGATATCTATAATTCTAGTAAATAAAAACTTCATGTGCAGCCAGCATCCTGATACCAGGTAAACAAACCCACAAAAGAATGTTAGCGTGATTATTGGAGTCATTGTCAAACAATGAGGAACAGAGAAGGGCATGTACGTAGCCAGAAGTGAAGGAAGTCTGTGCTGCATTTTAAAGTCTCCTGAGATACTCTCTGTAAAAACAGGCTGAAGTTGACTGGTGAGCATCAGGAGCAATTCTTTAACAGTTTCTTCACAGAGGTAGCCAGTACTATTTTATGATTATTTATTATGTTTATTATCTTTATTTTACATAGTTGCTCAGGTCTGACATTTATAGATATCATAAAGTCTCAATTTAATTAAAGCTCTTTCATGGGAGATATTATTTGATTTGATTTGTAAAAATACTTGTAATAGAGTTTATATGAAGGCTTTTGTTTCCAGTAATATAAATAGGTTATGGAATATTTATATTAATTGACTGACGTGTCCTCCTAAATTCTGTCACTTTTAACAAAACATATCCTTTTGATCTAGGTAGTGTCCCTGGTGCAGTTACTCAGTGATCCCTTCTACAGAACACTTGAAGGCTTCCGAATGCTGGTGGAAAAAGAATGGCTCTCTTTCGGTCATAAATTCAGTCAACGTAGTAATCTGACTCTCAACTGTCAGGGTAGTGGCTTTGCTCCTGTTTTCTTACAGTTCTTAGACTGTGTCCATCAGGTAAGTCAATCTCTATCTAATTTGAGTTTACAAGAAGAACACATGAGAAGTGCATACATACCACTATTTCAGATGTTAAAGTAATAGTTTGAGAGAAGACTAGTGACTCGTTCTCTAGGCTTCATTAAAGCAAATGGATTTGCACCTCAACAAGAGCTGGAATAGTTGCCTAGAGGAGACTGACTCATCCACACAAAGCAGACTTTGGGATGGTTGTTGTTACAGATCTTTTAATAGTTATGCAGAGATTTCAAATAGAAGTTTTTTCAACTTAAAACTGGCTTTTGACAGACTGGAGTAACTTTATTCAGAAGAAGAAATGGACTCTTAATTCATTGGTTAAGACTGTTTTTAACTCCTTGTGCATGATGATGAGCTTTCAAAGAGACCTTGTACTCCATGAGTTCTGGAAATACCAAGCTATAAATCGTGGGGTTCTGCGATGTTTTTATTTTTATATATGCTGCATGTTCAGAAGAAAATGAACACCAACATTTACATCATGTAGGAAGATGTTAGGTTAAGAACATTACGGTGATTTCAGGTTAATTCTAAAGTCTGTCCTTTTCTACATCCCAAATGAGTAAGTGTAATGCTTTGCAGTCTCTGTATGTGCAAATACAAGGCAGGAGTTTGCATAGTTCCTCTTGTATTTCATTTCCTACCTTTCTCATTTTTCTCACCGAAAAAGCTGTGAATTTGCCTCAAGCTGCAAGGTGCTTAAAATATGGCTGCAATACATGTGAATACGTCAAGGAAACAGAAGAACGTTACCTTTGCAATGCATCTCAGCTAGCAGCTTTGCTGCATGTCCTGTCAGCAGAAAGATCACCTCCTGCGGGCCTTCTGGAGCCAGTCATCACTACTCCTCTAGTGAAGATATTAGGGGGTATCACGTGATACAAGGTGTTCACGTGAACCTGCCTGTCTCTTCCAATCTCTTTTATTTTGATGGGTGTGGATTTAGAAGCAGTTCAACAGGTCAATCTGAAGGAGGCAGTAACTTGTCATAAGGAAAGATAGGACTGTCTGGACTGACTTTTCAGCCAGTGTTGTCCTCAGCTAAGAAAGGGCAGGGGAATCCAGCTTTACTGCATGATCACTAATATAGATTATATGTCTGTTATTAGAAAAAAAAAAATCTTTAAGCTAAATGACTTACAATCCCACTTAGGATGCAACTGAGTAAGTTTTCTGGACATAGACATGTGAAAATTACTCTTTAACTCATGATGGCATAGTATTGACTTAAAAATTCTAACAGTATGGTTGTAAAGCCTACAGAAATTACTTTTGATGTCAGAATAATGGTGATGTTTCATAGCAATTGTGCAACTTGTTAGAGAACTACAGTATCCAATTAGATTGCAACTTAACCTTGAAAGGTAATATGTTGTGATCGGTTTTTAAAAATTGTCCTTTTACTGTAAAAAAATATTTGGTCCTTTCAAAATATTTGTAACCATTATAGTCTCAACATACTAGGTGCAGTAAGAAAATCACCATAGAGCCAGTATGTGCATTAAATGTCATGGGTTAAAATAAAGATATAGAGAAAACAAATGAATCAGTGATTCCTAAATTAGAACTGCATCATCTTGTAAGAAGTCATTGTTTATGCCAATATCTCCAGGTGTCAGCTGAATTATTAATGCAAACTCCTTCTTTCACAATAGCAGCATCTGGCAGAAGCATCTCTGCTTCTAAGAAGACTGAGTTTATGAAAGTGATGTCAGTGCAGGGTTTTCTTATTTTTCTTCTGTATCTATCTGGTTAGGTATCAAATATAATTAAAACAGAATTATTTTCTAGAACTGACTGCTTTTAAGCTCAATAAGGAGCTCTGTTACAGCACCCTGTGTTAAGAGGAGGTGAGTGTGCTGCTCTCATGGTTGATGTATTCAGTTATTCATGATTACTGACATTTTGGAATACTATATCTCTTATTTAAACTAAGTAAATATTTCTAAATAACGGGATAACAAAACCAAAATGTATTAGAAAACTAAGGAAGGCTGATAGAAATGTAAGATTATTACATTTAGGAGGTATTTAAGTTAATTGGGGACATGGTGATTTGATAAAAATATACAATACTGATTTTCTCTAATCATAATATTAGAAACACCTCTTGGTTTACTCAGGTTTTAAATGTTCGTATATTATGGAATTTAAACATTTTAAAGGATGATGCAGTTGTAATCGTCAAAGATACCCTGTCCCTTTAGACTTCTCTTCCTAGGTGGTACGTGTTGAAATTGTGAAGTATAAAATCCTGCTTCTAACTTAAATGTGTATTTTGTAAATATCCCTTAAAATCGATGAAATAACTGGAAAGACACCATGGTGTCCAGCTGGCACATGTGAAAATCTAAACGTAAGGAGCTTTGGCTAGTCTAATACTATTTTCCATAAGTACTAAAAAAACCCCACATTTATCTCATGAGAAACTGATAAGTAGAGATCAGTTAGAAAAGATGGAATGGGAAAATTAGAGTGATGGGAATGCAAAAGACAAGACACAGAAAGATTGCAGAACTAAAGGTATTTTACAAGGTTGATCTGAAGCTAGACAAAGCACAGTGGGACATATTTCAACTGTGAAATTCAATCAGCAATTTTTTGATTGCAAGCTGTACTTACTCTCATTGTAACTGGGATTTTTTCAGTTAATGACTATGCTTAATGCTGAAAGTTAAGATCATGATCCATAAACTTCTTTGAAGGGTAAATTTGAAATTTGAAATTAACACATGAAATTTTTGTGAGAAATATCAAGATTTTTATAATATTGAATTTTATATGGATATAAAGTATCAATATTATCAATAATTAATGCTATTTTTTCCCCCATGAATATCTTTTGGATAATATTCAGGAGGAAGCAGTTGTGAAGAGCCAACTATCCCACAGTGCTGTACTCCTATAATCTTGTATTGTCTTCCTAAGTATTTGCTCCTGACTCCTGTTGGAGATATTCACTGAACTAGATAGATCCCAAGCCTACCTGAGGATAACAATTTAAGATGTTTCATAGTGTTTACTGTTTTAAAAGAATAATGGCAAGACACCTCCTCAGTATGTTGTGGCGCGCTTTTTTTTCCATACTGTAATATTTTGGTGCATATTTTGCAAAGAAAGAAATATGTATAGACTAACAAGTACTTGAGTATTTGAGTGTGCTTTATGGGTAGTGGTAGATGGAATATCATTTGCAGCTGTACCTCTGTACATGTCTGCCTCATTAGGTTCTGAGCAATAGCAACAAGTAAGCTACAAAACCTTCCAAGTGAATTTTGATTTCCCTATATCTAGGAGTAGCGTCTTCGTCTGTGAAGTTACATGGTGTTTCAGGAGTTATCCTAATAGATTTATATCCAGTTTGAATGCTTCAAAAAATCCTGGGGTTTGTACTGCTTATTATACAGTACACCCAACCTGCTTTCAAACATTTTTGCAGCATAGACATTATATGAATTTAATTTGCTTTCAAATATTTTTAGATAAAATGTAGAAAGATTTGTGTGTACAGACAAAACAATTGCCTATGGATTTTTTTTTGTCAGCATTCACATGGAATCATTTTGCTGTGATATTTCAGATTATTAATTCTTATGTATCTATTTGTATTATACTTCAATATCCTCTTTTTTCCCTTCTTTTTCTTTTTAGATTCATAACCAATACCCAACAGAGTTTGAGTTCAATCAATATTATCTGAAGTTTCTGGCTTTCCATCACATATCAAATCGATTTAAAACATTTCTTCTGGATTCAGACTATGAAAGACTAGAACATGGTATGTGTGATGCTTGTTTATTGCACATTGGGTTTGTAGTTTCTGGGTTTTTTCTCATCAATATTTGGTGTACAAAAATTTGTCTAGTTTGAGATGGTCCAGTAGCTGCATGGGAATGATGTAATGAATTCCATTTCAGGACTATAAAGCAAAGTGGAGGTGAAGAACATGTAAATTTTCTGAATGAATGATTCCCGAGCCATGCCACTGATGGACTAAGAGAATGTGGAAGAAATTAGTGCCGTGCCTCAAAGTTTTGTAGCAATTTATCCACATTGTTCAATTTGTCCTACCTTATTTTAGCAGAAGTAAACTCTTAGGGAATCCTTCAGAGAGCGCGTGAGCTTTCAGAAAAGGATATCCTTTCCATCTCTTATCGCTTTCTTCTTTCTAGTACATTCTCTTCAGTGTTTCTTTTCTATTTCCTTTTTACTTCCTCTGTTGTGTGCAACCTTACTGGTTCCAAGGCCTTACCTACCCTCAGAGACCTCTTAATAAAACTGCACAGACACAGTTGAGGCCATTCATGGAATTTGTTCACTGATCAAAACACTTGTGCTCCCAGTGTCACTGCTTTGTGCAGTGGGTGGGGTGGTTCTCATGGTATATGGTCAAGTTGAATGCTTTCCTTAAAACTGTAGTAACCATGGAACAGGCTAAACTTGAACAACCATTTTTTTCTAAAAAAAAATTTAATTTTCATAATTTACCTTCATTTGAAGAATGACTTCCTGTGGTTCTTTCCAGCCTGGATTGTTGCATGGTTCTACAACTGGAGGGATGTGTATTTATTTGGAGGTAGCTTGCTTTCAAATGTCATTTAATGCGATATAAAATCCTGTTTCCAGGAGTCCTTGGATTAACTGTATGTCCTTCCAAAGTAATTTCAGATGGCACAAACGTATGACTAACTTATACTAGCTTGATTTGTTCTCCTTGAAATGAGTTAGCAAGTAATTTCCAGTGCAGCTGGTCGAGCGGATGGGAAGGGCTGGGAACCTCAGGTAGTGGGGGACAGATTGGGTGAGCAGGGCTTGGTGCTCTGCTGAGTCTGCGTAACTGCAGGCAGAAAGTCCACTTGAGTACTTGTGAATGTCCTGAATGTCCCGTGTTCAGGGTTTGTAAGTGTAATGCTACTGAATAGCTACAGTTGCAAAGCACAGCAGTTGTTTCATCAGATGCAATCTCTTGTTGCAGTGGCATTTGGTTGTAGATTTTACTGTACATTTAGTCTGTGAAAGTCCTTTCAGCTATGCTTTCGTGTTTGTTATGTGTTATCATAAAGCTATCTTTTTGTGGCTGTTACTTTCCCTAGGGACGTTATTTGAAGATAAAGGAGATAAACATGCCAAAAAAGGAATTTGTATTTGGGAATGTATTGAAAAGATGCACAAAAGGAGCCCTGTTTTCTTCAATTACCTCTATGCCCCTACTGAAATAGAGGTATGATTTCTTTCAAAAAAAAAAAAAAGGTGTTTTGTTTTGCTGAGTGATTACTTGAGTACGTTTTGATATCTTAATTGTTCTCAGCTGACACTCAAGCATTCAGTGGACAAAGTACCTACTGCAAACCACAGTTGTGAGGAAATGAATTGAGAGTCATAATGGGATACATTGCGTAATGAATGACGTTATCTATATCACAGTCTAATATGATAACGTATGTCCACTAGATTGGCCTATGCCTAAGAAAAATTGAAGGGAGATTGCTACTGAGTGCCTTTTGTATCTTTACCAGAAGGCACAAAGACTGTGAAGGGTACCAGCTACATGTGCTGAATTAGAGTTTCTTGGTAGGCACCTGGTTTAGTGGAAGGATGAAAATGAGCAGTTTATTCCCAAAGCTAGTAATGGTTTTACATTTTGATCTGGCAGAGCCAAGATCTTGCTGTGAAAATTATCAAACCACAGTGCTACTCACCCAGCACAATATATTGTTTAATTTAGAAAATTCTAGAAAATGTTGTATTGTAAGTCTGAAACTCAAAAACTTCCTTTCTGTTAGTATAATAAAACTTTGTTTCAAATAGGCACTGAAACCAAATGTAAATATGTCCAGTCTCAAAAAGTGGGATTATTATGTAGAAGAGATTTTGGCTACAGGTCCTTCCTATGATTGGACCATGGTACCTGCAAAATGCAATGTTTCAGAAGAAGCTGACCAAGCGGATGGTTCACTCTCTCAGACTAAGAGGAAAATAGTATGGCCATGTTATGATGATGTTAAAAAAATACAACCTGATGCCATCAGCAGCCTTTTAAATGTAAGTACATGTGTTACACAGGACAGTAAGTTCTCTCTGGCTCATGAAATCCATATTTATTTTTTATTTAAGTTACTGCCTTATTGATCTACTGTTATTGAAGGGATCATGATAGATGTCCAAACAGGTGTTTAGTAAAGCTGACAGATTAATCCTGAGAAGTAATGGTTGCTCTGGGAATCAGTCAGACTTCTGCAAAGCTTATGTTATTCTGAATGAACGCTTTTCTGGGAGTACACTTTGATAGTAGTCAGTAACTATGAGAAAGTCAGTTGTGGCTTCATTTCTTGACTTCTTTTTTAAACAATAAAAGACGATGTAAGTTAAGTGTAAAAATTTTTAGGTTACTTTTTATAAGAAGTGTAGAAACTGTTATTTTAATTTGGACAAATGTTGAATCTAGCCTTCTTGTCCTCTTTCTATTCAATTTAAAGTAGGTGTGTGGTAAAATGACAAAGACCCAGATTTACAGACAGATCAGAAAACAGAATCTGACACTTGTTGACTTTAACAAGTGGGAGGCAGATACACAATCATAACCGAAAGTCTTGGCCCAGAATCCTCAAAAAAGCTTCGTATGATTGTTTTTAGTTTGATAATGTTTACTAGGACTATACTGGTAAATTTAGATTCTTCAGAATATTTTGGTACTTGAAATAGATCCTTGGCTTGGGGTTTTATCTTGTTTGGGCTCACATAGGCTGCTTAGGTTTTGTCTTTTCTTTGTTAGAAGATGAAAAAGGATTCCATTATCTCGATAATTGTAGTTATTTAGAATGATTTAACATGTATATTTTCTTAAATGCTTGTTGGTTGATTACAATCAATTAACAGTCCTAATATTTAGATTATCATCTTAAATAATAGCACAGGAAAAGGACAAGGGCATTCCTAACTTCCTTCAGCTGTTGTTTCATGCCACGAGCATATCAACAATACACATCACTACGTACAGGGTTTTTGTTTCGAAAACTATTTGCAGACTCCACCAGATTAAAGCTGGGATTGTAGAGCCTAATACTGCAATGCTAGGAAAACTGGGATATGCTGTGGGTCTCTGAACTCCCTTGAATCAAAGATGCTTTTTAGCAAAGTCTTAAGGCAAGACATGATTTTGCTGGAGAGAGCTCTATTGTGGCACTTTCCTCAAATTTCTTCTGGTCCATTCCTTCCCATCATAATTGATCAAACACAGAAACAATGCCCAATTAAAAAAAATAATAGGCATTTATAAAAGTCCCCTTGACTCAAACTAAGATAACCAGAACTACTCAGAGCTTATAACTTCACAAATGCGAAGAAAGAGCAGCATCTCAGCAGGGGTCTTTTTTTGCTGAAGAATCCCATATCAGGGATTCTTTAGCAAAAAAACAGAGAGCCTTCATGTCAGGGAACTAGAGGCCAGAAGTACATCAGGAATATAGCAGCAGTGCTCTTCTGCATTTCTTCTTGGGGTAGATGCCAAACAATCCATATCCACAGCTGTGAGAAACTGCCATGTAACAGGGAAGTTAGCCATATTATATTCTGAAGATATGTGGGTCAGGTTTTATAGAGTTTAAATGTTATTTGTGAATTAGATTATAGTAATAAAAGATAGCAATGGAAAGGAACATTTGAAAAACTTTGAAGAGGCTGTGTAAAGGTTACAAAAATACTCTTCTAAGTTTAAAAAGCAAAGTGAACTTTCTTTTAAAACAAGCTGTTAATTTAGGGCTATTGCTGATGTAGGAGAAAGACATCTCTTTAATCATAAATCCATTGAGAATGTGTTGGTATCCAAAAAATGTTTTAACTGAGCCCATATTTAGCGATGGTAAATTACTAGGGAAGATTGATTCTCTCTTAGTTTATAATGATAAGCCCAAATTTGTTTGTTCTAAAGATATTTTTCAATTGAAAACTAGATAGTGCTTTTCAGGAGGTAAAGCTGATACAAAGAAGTTACTGAGTGTCTTAATTCAGAAATACCCTTTGTAGAATGTGATGCAAAATATGTAATTTTTTTTAGCAGTAAATGTTCTAATGTGTTTTGGATACATAAAAGTCCACCTCTAACCAGATGTGTGTGATGGCTCTATGGCTGCCATAAGTCCTTATGTTTCTGAGTTTCAGGAAGTAACCAATCTACACATTTCATTCATTTAGTCCTAAATGAGCCTTTTAAAGACTGCAGATGATAAAATACATTTTAAAATACAGATTCCTGTACAAAGCTTCCCATGTGTTGCCTGATCTAGTCGAGAGGCGTCCCTGCCCATGGCAGAGAGGTTGGATTAAATGATCTCTAAGGTCCCTTCCAACCTAGGCCATTCTGTGATTCTGTGAAGTCACTTTTGCCATGTCAGAGGCGGCCAGCAAACCTGAACCAGGTTGCTCAAATCTTAAAATCTAAGAAGTGTGCTTTGGAGACATAAACGTTCAAAAGTAGATCCAACAGAAGTGCTTCCCCTTAAGATCGGTTTCTGATAGCCCTTCTGCATGATGGGAAACAGAAGCAATCAATGAATAACCAGCAAAACAATAAAACCAGCATTTCTGGTTGTGTGAGCTGTTTTGTAACTTCCATTTTTGTGCCAAAAAGGCTGATGAAAGTGAACCGTGAACCAAAAAGTTTATTGTAAATATTGAAAAAAATAGTCATGTGCAATTTGTTGCACACACAAGTTTGAACACTTGGCAGAGGCAGCAGTTCAGTCCCTCGATACACACTCGGGATCTTTCCATTTGTAGTCAGTCTTAGAAGCCTTCTACCCCAGACATTGAAGATAAAACACTAACGAGGAAGGATTTCCAAAACAGGTGCTGTGTCCCAGTCAGGACAGTTCACTAGCGTAGGACTTGTCCACATTGTTCCACGGGTGCCCAAACACGCTGTGGATCTAGAGGAGGTGATCAGTGCCCACGTGTCTGGAGTGTCTGCAGAGTTACCCCGTGTCTGTACCAGTCAAGTATTACAAAGCAAATTACTTAGCAGATACATCTTTTGAAAGACACGGTAATGCTAATTGCTTATAATTACTAATATCAGGAAATGAATATTCATGCAATTGTGTTTGTTTATTTTCTTTTTCTGTGTATTGACTTCTGCTGCCATAAGTCTAGGCAACAGGAGATGAACCAGAAGGATAAATTTAAGGATTTTTTTCTTTTAAGGAAATGTGGCTATTCGTAGCCCATCCTGCACATGGCAGTTCAAGAATCTGAGTTTTTCAGTAAAATTTAAAACTGAAGAGGCAAAAGTAAATCTTAGTGATACATTGCCATGTAGGATTTTTACATGGAGTTTATTAAAGAAGAATTTTTTCCTAACATTTCAAGTTATATATAGGAGATTGTTGAAAGCTTTTCATTTTAAGTTCTGTAAGCACTCACTACTCATTGTGGAGCCAAAAAAGAAGGAATGTGACCCAGTTGCTAAGTAACAAGTTTCAGTTATTTCCAGATTCTGCAGAGAAAGACTTATGCTCAGAAGTCAAAATTAGGGCAGAGAAAGAATAATCAGATTAGAAACGGACTAACTTTTAGCACTAAAGAGTTTGTATCCTTTTGCAGCAATTTGGAAAGGCTTTTACACAAAAAAAAAAACGGAGGTAAATTGAGTCAGTTGTTTATATCCCATCAGGAAGCATTTTACACTCAGCACTTTGAAAGAGGAACAAGTAATCTACAGAAGCTCTTAGTCTGGCTTGTTTTCACCATTCCTTGTTTCTGTGTCTACCTATGAAGATACTCCAAATATAACTATTCTGGTTTTATTTCTTGGCAAGAAGAAAGTCCCTATAATATGTAATGTATATATGGCTTTCAACTGCCTTCATCATTTAAAACTTCCGGTTTGATTCTTGCTGTTAAGCTGCATTTCTTATATTTAGTTTTGAGTTTTCTAATTTACCTTCAGCAAGGAAGTGTTTGTAAAAATATTTTGTCCCTGTTATGCTGTCAAATACTGGCTTTCTTATTTTCACTTTAGAGTTCAAAATTTAGTTCAGGAGTTAATTTCTTTGTCAAAATGTTTTCTTACCTTAAAAATCTAGTCATGTTCTATAATTTTTTCAATCCGTAACAATTTCCTGAAGAACTTGTCATTCTAAAAGACTGGTAGGAGTTGGAGAATATTATGAAATCTAATTTAATCATTTAGTATACTAGAAGTAAATTAAGTCAGAGGCTTACTGTCGCTACTTTGAAAATAAATGTCTTGGAATTTAGTTGGCTTTTATATAGCATGGGAATTCTCTGTCCTATGGCTGCTTTTTGTTCCATCATCAATTCCTAATTGGATTTGCAGAATTGAGGTTTTAATTTGATTTCACTAAGAATCAGATTTTCATAACAATATAGTTATTGAAAGTAAAAATATGGGAAAGAAGCATGGCAAAGACCACACATCCAAAGTAGTGCCAAATGATGAGTGTTTACAAGTAAACATCAACTAATGAAATTGCCTCTTTTTACTTAGCTTTGCATGCACTGTCCTATTAACAGGAAATAACCCTAACTGGAGGTTATCAGCACAGGTCATATTCCCAAGTTCCACAACAAGAACATGTTGTTACAGTTTGGCATCCAAATGGACTAAATCTTTCTGTTACATTTCCTTCTTTTATTACAGCTTTGTATGACATTTTCTAAACCAGGGTAAATGTTAATATTGGCAATGCACAATGTTGGTGTCACAGCACAGAATTTGTTCTTTGTAAATATTTTTATAAAATGCAGCCTATCTGTATCATTGTCATGTTTCCATTATGGCAATCAGCGTCGAGTTTTGTGTGTTCAGGAGAACAAAAAGCAGAGTGGCAGAGAACGAAAAACATAGTGGCTTCTCCAACCTGTGACATGCAAGAAGAATGGTGGCTGATGCTGTACTTGGTTGTCTTTGACTCCTGAGTCTGATTGATTTCAGTTTATAGCTGGTTTGTAAGAGGGTTTTTTGTGTTTTACTGGGAAAAATGGCCTGAAAGTTCCCTGTGTAAAAATATTGACTAGAAAATGATTGTATAAAAGCAACTGCCATAACAAAGTTTATCCTTAAGAAACCTCTTGTTATTTATTTCAGGAAATTGAAAGGTTGGAAAGTAAATTAAATCAGAGCCCAGAAAGGTGGCAGCTTTTGTGGGAAAGGGTCAAAATGAATCTAAAGGATGACAACAGACAAGACAATGTAAGTAGTAAAAGAGCTTATCCAATAGAATAGTTCAATTCCTGCTATATAGGCTACCTGAGGCACTGACAAAAATCACTGGTTTTTTGGGAATAAAATACTTTTGAAAAATTGAATATGATACTAGCTCTTTATTTCTGCATGTAGAAAAATCTATTTATACTTGTGCTATTTATCTAATTGGTTTTCCAATAGATCCAGTAGATTAAAGCATACAGACAAAATGAGCATAAGTATTTTATTAATACAAAAATACATTACTTCATATATTTAAAAGATTCTTGACATACAAAAAACCTCTGTTCCTGAAAGTAGCCAAAAGCACAGTGTGGAGTTTCAGAGATGGTTAAAGTTATTTTCATGTTTAAATGGAGTTTTGGAGTTGTAGATTCTAGCAAAGGTTTGTGCTTATGTTTCCAGTTCTTGACTGTGGTAAAAAGAATAGCTGAGAATACAGGTATTTTCTAAGTCAGAGGCTGCCTCTTTGCTGTCTACATGCACTAGGAAGAATGTTAGATACTGCTTTTTCTGAGCTTTCCCTGGAAACTTGATGTAGTGAGTTACCAACTTGAGTCTGTACCCTAACGCTTCAGCTTCGTGCGCTTGTTCGGATTTGCCGGCCTCCATGCAGCGGTCAGTCACCAGCGCTACTGTGTTGGTTTTCGTTTGCTTTTGGGAAAGCAATGTGCTTCATGTCTGTCAGGGTTATTCAAGTTCACTTTATGCCCTAGATGAATTTAAGATGAAGAAAGTTTTCCCCTAGCAAAGTAGAGGATTGTTTTATTGAATTTGAAGCAGAGAGGAAAATACAAGTATAAATATACCTTACATCAGTCTGCTGTCCTAGCTGTTATTTAAGGTTCTCAGATAAGTGCGATCAATAGCTAAGGGTAGGCCCCGAAGAACTTTATCTCTAGGATGCTCTCCTTCGGATTGAGACCACATTCAGGATCCATCTTGTTCCAGGTTATTGAGATTCTATAAAATGATTTGGATCTACAAAGTAGCTCTTCGAAACTGCACGCTTTATCCTTCCCTCCCTCCCCTTCCCTTCTATTCTTTCCCTTCCTTCCCTGTGAAATTAAGGACATTTCTTGTATCCAAACACCGGGCTAGTTCTATATGCTTTTGAGAGAGCAAGGGAAACGTTCAAGATTATGTCACTGGAATATACAAGGCTTTTCTGAAATACTGATTACTTTTACACCAAGAGAACCCTTCTGCCTAAGAAATGCGTTGAATTGCCATCTCTCTGACTTCTTTTCCGAGGCAGCAGTGACCTGTATTCACAATTAATGTGTCGAACTCCATATTATCAGTATAATGTTGAGACAATGCAAGACATATTGCGTTACTTTTTTTTCTTTTATTTAAATGGGTTTTTTAGCTCCGGAGACATCATTCTGGCTCCTCAGGGATGGTGTCAGCTAATCTACATTCCTATCAGAAGAGGTCTTTGCTGGAAATACCTGACAGTGGGCTGGGTGAAGAACACAGTGCAAGCATCTCTCCCTCTAATGGAGTAGACAGAAGAACCACTACACTATACAATCATTTCACATCAAAGAATGAAGAAAATAGGTAAACTTAATAATCAAAGAGTATTTATGAACCTTGTATTAGATTGATACAAGTCTCTGCCTTGGGAAGAAAAAAAAAAAAAGAAATTTTCAGATGTACAGAATGCTTTGTGACTACTTAATTCCTTCCTTGTGGTTTTGATTACATTTAGTTGTCCTGATGGGTGGGCCTCTGTTTCTAGCAGTATCTTTCAGTCCTGCTGTTTACATGCACAAGCAAATTGTAGCTTCGCAATTAACGCATCCAAAGTACTGAAACAGTGTTTGTTAGTGTATTGCAGTTACCAATAACTAAACTATTGGTTTAAAACTGGTCTGATTTACTGCAGTAAAAGAAGTGTTTGAGTAGGTATATGGTTGGTTGGGGGCTTTTATATATCACCAGTATTTGTATTGTGGAATCATGGGCCATTTGTATTTTCTGTACCTTTCAGATCTTTTGAAGGTACGCTATACAAAAGAGGAGCTTTGCTGAAAGGTTGGAAACCTCGGTGGTTTGTGCTGGATGTGACAAAACATCAGGTAAAAGCTTTTCAGTTTTATTGGGTTTTTACAGGTTGATTTTGCAAATTTTCTAGGTTAATGAGGTAAAATATCAACATATGTGCTGATTATAATTATTCTTCCTGGTATACAGGAGAAAAAAGGTACACTTTTTAGAAGAAAAAAATACTTCAACATTTTTTATATAACCAGATATCCTCCTGTCATAGAATCATTCAGGTTGGAAAAGACCTCTAGGATCAAGTCCAACCGTCAGCCCAACACCACCATGACCACTAAAGCATATCCCAAAGTGCCATGTCTACACGTTTTTGAACACTTCCAAGGGTGGTGACTCCCACTTCCCTGGGCAGCTGTAATACAGGTTAATCTTAGTTAATTCTGTCAATTATGTTAATTCTGAATTCTGTCATTGGACCTTTGATGTGAAGATTTGCTTTACTACTTTGAATTGGGTTATGGTCGGGATTTTACTCATTTTTTTAAATGCAAGTATCAGATTTTCTCTTCTGGAACTTAGTTGCATATTGAAACTCAGAGTGGTTAACATTCATATCAAAATATCTTTGCAAGGAGAAAAAAAACAAAAGCAAGCTTCATTCAACCACTAAATGTAGTATAGGAAAATGTGAGTTTTCTATGTAGTTTATAATTATCTAAAGGGATACTTAAATTTCTGCTGATCATTTTAAATTCTTGAAATATAGAAAATAAGTGTTCTGTTAGCTCCTTGGTGAAGTAAAGCTTTTGTGTTAGTTTCAGTGTAATGGACAGTGAAGAGGTGGTATCTGTTAGCAAAACTGATAAGGAAGGTTGTGCACATCCTCTGCCCAGAAGCAATGTGTGACCGTTTGAAGCTTTTCCGCTCTGAAACTCTGGTGAAAAAATGCTCCTCCCCCAGCTCTGTGTCTGCACAGGAGCAGACGGTGGAGATTCCATTGTTACCCAGAGATGTCAAACAGAGGATCAGCCAGTTAAGGGCCGGTCCAACCACTTTGTATATATCATAGAGTCATAGAATGGCCTAGGCTGGAAGGGACCTTAGAGATCATTTTAATCCAGCCTCCCTGTCGCCAGGGACACCACCTCTCGACTAGACCAGGCAACACATGGGGACCGAACGGGAGTCGAACCTGCGACCTTAGCGTTGTTAGCGCCACGCTCAAACCCATGGTTTCTATCAGTTGTCTTAGAAATTTCCCATGTTTGATATCCTCAGGTGCTAATAATATTTGTGCCTCCAACCCTTACCACTCCATGCCCCCAAACTGTATTGGGGAAAAGGGAATAAGTAGTGAAAGGTTCATCTAAATAACATATTTGGCTTGTTTTTTGTTTTTCTCTTGTGGTCTAGCTGCGATACTATGATTCTGGTGAGGATACAAGCTGTAAGGGACACATAGACCTTGCAGAAGTAGAAACTGTGATTCCTGCTTCTCCAACAATTGGAGCCCCAAAACATGCAAGTGAAAAAGCATTTTTTGATGTGAGTATATCTGATCCTTACTTAATGTTTATGTGAAATATTCTTTTCTCAGTGTGTTTAACTTACTCTTTTTGAAAGGTGTGAGCTAGGAAGAAGCTAGTCATGCCAACGCAAGGCAAAAAGCTTTTATATAGCTTGTGTCTGGCCCTCACTCTCAACAGCAGAATTTGAAAAAAATGTTACATTCAGACCCAGTTAGTACATTGCATATTACAGTTTGAAGTAAAATTTGCAAGTGTATTTATCTATTTTGCGTGTTGACTTGTCTGTCTTCATGTTCTTGTGTTTTCTTTGCAGTTGAAGACAAATAAGCGTGTATATAATTTTTGTGCCCAGGATGCACAGAGTGCTCAACAGTGGATGGATAGGATCCAAAGTTGCATTTCAGATGCTTAGAAAGGAAAAATGTTCTATAATAAAGACACGTTTAAAACATCTCTTCCTGTAAGAAGCTAAGTTCTGAAATGTTACTGACAACCAGCCTTCCTTACATTTCAGCCATAAAAGTTCATAATACGCTAAAGTTTCTTTTATGTTTAATAATTATAACCACTGTAACTGCTATTTTCTTTCTGCAGGGAGGACTTTGAAAAATAATAATCCATTTATCCTGAATTTCCACTTTCTTCAGTACAGTTCCTAGCCATAAAAGTGGGCTGTATTTGCACTATCATCTAATCATGGTTTTCTCATTTCAGAGCTATTCTGTCCAAAGGAAACTGTAGGCATTTTCCCTCCAACAGGAAGTGTGTTTTCACTTTATATTTTTAAGCAGCATGTTCTTATTTCCAAGCCAGTCATGAATAAGAGGGAACATGTCTACAATTCCTAAAAAGAAAAAAATAAATGAAGCCTGTGAGTCCAGTGACATATATATCACGTTGCCAATGTTGATAGACAGTTGATGCTTTTAAAGACCAAAAGTGAAATGGCCCAATACCAGACTTTCAAGTGTCTTCTCAGTGTGCAGGTTATTCTCTAATCTTGGGCTCTACTGAGTGCTTCTGCAATGTTGTTACAGAATTTCCAACTCTAGGGATTATCTGAAGATCATAGCACTTTTATTTTAAACTCTGTTTGTAATAACAGTGGGATAAATGAAAGAAAACTGCCTGACACTATCAAGGAGAAACAAAGAACGACAAACTAGGAATTCAGTAGAAGAAAGATCTCTTATGTGTGAGTTGTGTATGTTAATTTATATGCTGTTCTGCTCACTGTAAAATAAAAAAATAACAAACATGATAATGCACTAAACAATGAAGCAAGCACTTGCACTGAAATCTTTAAAATACAGACATTTTGCAGGACAGAGGTTAAGTTATTTATAGCAGAACAATACTAGCTAGTTAACATTTACAGATATTAAATATGTACATAATCAGGTTTGATGTGTCGTGATTTGATACTTTTTAAACATTTTTGCACATGAATTGGAAGACTGTTTATAGATTTTTACATTTGATAAAATTGTGTTTGTTCAGCTTAAAATCTGGCGAAACATTTTTAATAGCCTCAAACTAGTAGAAATTTTACAGTCTACAAATAGCAATGACATTGAGTAGAATAGGTAATTAAGCCATTGTTTTTATTTTGAAATGTTAATATGTTAAATAGCACACTAATATTACAAAAGGTTTGTATATATGATTCACTATTTTCTCATTTTTGCAGATGTTCCGCTTGTAATTTAATGTCAGCCTAACTAAACTGACTGTACTTACACAGTTTTTCAGTTATTAAATTGTGGTTTTTTTACAACTAATGTATTTTGTCAGAAAGGAACATAAATTTCTCACCACACACAATAGGAAATGCAACTGTTTTTAATGCATTTACAATTTCAAAACAAAAATATGAAGGATTTTTCTAGCGTTTTTCAATTGACAAATTTCCACCTGTGACAATGGTGTTTGCACATTTGTATTTTCCTTTGTATATGAAGTACTTTTATATGTACTTTGTAAAATACTGATCCTGTTCGTAGGTTATATGAAAATAGACATGCCACTGCTTTTTTTGTAACTAGTTAATTTTAACCCTTGTATGTTATGTGAAATATGTATGCTAACCATCTTGTAATAAATACACTTCTTAAGGAAAAGTAAAACCTTTCCTTTTACTGTAAAAGAGAAGAAAGCAAGACCCACATGTTGAAGTATTTCCACGGGCACAAGACAAATCCTTATTTACTCTGTATTAAGAATAGTGGGTGTATTGAAAACTTTGTGGTCTTCTGTATACATGTAAATATTCTTACATAAAAGTTGCGCTTGAGCATCCTTAACTCAAACACTTGTCAACAGTAGCACTAAAGACTAAAAAAAACCGGAATTTAAAGCAAAATTATCATTCTAACAAGTCTCAATGTATAGCCTTTATTAGAAGGCTATGTACGTATAACGTTCATACTAAGTCATTGAATAATGATGTTAAATATATTTTAAAACCCCCCCAAAACATATATGGTATCACAATATAAATGAACGGCATACTTTCATCCATTTATCATATCTCATTTATGTCATCTTATGCAAAAATTATCTAATTCGTGAGAAATAAAATACAACAAGGTCTTACTTGAGAAGGTGCATCTAAAGTGAATTAGTGAGTGCAGTGTGGGATAGCGGAGTTAAAATGGAAAGGGAATGTGTGACGGAGGTAGAGGACCAGTGACGGTTCTTGGATGCTGTGGTGCTTAGGTGATAAAGTTTGCATATTGAGCTTGGCATGGATGCTAATGTTGCCTTAAATGTTGATCTTAATTTTTAGTGTCTGTATTGATGGAAAATGGACTTGAGCAACTTAACTTAAAAATATCCAAATAAAAGCTGAAATGAGATATATGATATTTGTGGTTATTATATAAGGAATGTACAAAAGAAATGGTAGGCGTAGGCTTTTGGCATGGAGACATCAAGTTTGCAGTGTCCCTCAGGGTCTCTTCTATACAAATTGAAGGTTCAAACGGAGACTTGGAGAAGATGTGGAGAAGCTGGCATAGCGTTGGCTACAGGGTTTGCTAGTGTGTTGGACTTGTGGTGGCAGGAGAGAATTAGAAACAGAGAACTTGCTTCGGAAAAATTCTGTATACGTAGGGATCCGTCTCCGTATTCTGTGAGAACTTTCCAGAGAAAGGAACCCATCCAGGAGCTGCGGATCAGGTAAACATGTGCTCCCTCTGGTGCGTCATCTTGCTGTGCCCATATCGAGTATCATTACAGTCCTGCTGTAGAAAAGAGAATCATCGGGGGCTTTGCGTAAGGGAAGAAGATTGCTTGCCCTTTTCTGTGTCGATTAACAAAATGCCTGCATAATAGATAATGGTATGAACTCATATTAGGTTTTGAAGAATTGTTACTGGTATATTATATTAGCAATTTCTCTTTCCTAATGTACAAATATTTTCTATAAAAATATATTTTTACCAAAAAATAAAAAGCTTAGCATGCCACGTGTGCGGGTCACTGGTTATGTAATAATACACAAACAGCTAACAGACCCAGGAACAAACGTTCAAAATTTTGTATCATATCCCACACACATTATTTGTATCTGATACTTTGTGAATTGCAGACATAACAAAAATGTGGTAATCTTGTCCAAATTCTGTCATTTTGCTTTTTCATCCTGTAATATTCTTGGAGTATGTCTAAATGGCTGCACCACTTTTCTCATTTTTCATATTTGTGATCATCCAGATATTTTGTCTGTTCATGATTATCCTGTGGTTGCTTTGGGGAGTCAGAAAACTGAAAAGAATCTGCCAGTTCCCAAGTTATGCTAGAGTTCATGCTGAGTATCACTGTAGCACCTTCTTTCTGGGAGTTTTGTTTGTATTCAGTCAGTTTCTTCCTGAATTTTGCCTACTGTGCAAGCAAAGGGCAGTATTAGTATCCACATTCTAAGCTAGGAACTTTTCATCTTTGAAATTTTTTCACATACAAGTTTTTCTTAGTTTACTGTCAAGTGAGGATGCTGCAAATTCACTGTTCTGTCTCATCATGTCTAAATTTAGGTGAGAAATTTTTGAAACAGAGATGATCAGTGTTCACTTGCTGACATAATTTGTTTTTACCTCTGCAAACCCTACAAATCAGGAGATGTGGCAGCTAGTGGCAGCTGAATTGTAATTCCAGATTGCTGGTAATATCTAGCCAAAATATCATATCATATCCTAGACTTATTTATCTTTTTCATGGTGGTCTAATCTAATTTCAGCTTCATTAAAATGCGGCTTGTCAACATGCCATGGGAAATTCCGTTTTGATTAGTTTCAGGTTATACCATATAGTTCAGAATTCTTCCTTTCTCTTCACATTTTGCTTTCATGTCAGAATTTGCACATTTATAAATAGGAAATGTTGCTTGATTGTGACAAGTTTACTGTTGCTGTTTTCCACTGTCTGCTCTTCGTTAAAGATGTTTTATTTGTGTGTCTTCTAGGAGATTCATAGAGAGTCTATCTGTAAAATAGGCAGTAATAGAAGTAGGTCTTGTAGTGTCCCTTTGTGTTAAAAGTCTCCGTTAATTGTCCAAAATTCACACTAGGTACAACATCCCTGTTTAGATGGCCAGATGAGACTGCTTTGAATTTAACGCCCAGGAAGAATGTTCTGTGCAAATGCTTTCTGAATAAGGAGAGATTATCAGGTAGCTCGAGAAACAAGGATCACACAGCGCCGAAGGCTTTACCAGGTTACACTGGCTGTGGACAATCTTTATTAGTAGTGCTCATGAGTTAAAAATTCTGTTCATATCAAGACCTCCAGTGAGTTCAAAATGATAGCTTCGTGAAATTGTGTATAATTATGAATAAAGTTCAGTATAGTAAGCTATAGCACAGGTAGAATCACTGTCATGTTTTAATACTTACATGTTCAGGTTTTGCATGTGTTGCATTGTTCTTGTGTCACCAGTTGTTAAAATTTTAATTTTTATTTCTGCTGTGTTCAGATTATCACTGGCAAATATTTTCATGCAATTGTTTAAGCAAATGCTTACACTAACGTTTCTAATCAAACCTATTTGTTTAGTATAAAGCATTGAAATCTTTGTAGTGTTTTGTGAAGGCAAATGATTTAGGATTGGAATTTCAAAACAAAACATTGGAGAGTTGCAATTACCGTTGAATTTTGAAGAAGTTGAACAGCCTGTTTCTCTGAGACACCTGTAAGATATTTTTCTTTATGATACCTTTTTAAATTTTCAAAGAGCTTTCATTTAAAATATCCAGTTTCCTTCTAGTGCCCCTGGATTAGAGTTTAATTCATGTATTTACTTTAAAGTGAAGTTCAAAAACCTCCTCTGCTTTTCTTACTTTACTCAAAACAACTAGAGTTCTTCATCTTAAGAGTTGTTTTCTGACACAAGTTAAAATTAACTTGGCTTGTTTCACTTCAGACTCCTGACTCAAAGGAAAGCTTGCAGTAAGTCTCCTTTTCTGGTATGAGTATGTAGCAATGCTTGAAAACCTGGAAAATATCCTATCAAGTGATAATGATCTAGAGCCAGGAATAAATTGAGGACTGATTTAGAGTATGTAAAATCGTGTTGTTGGCCACGGTGTGTGTTATGTACGTTGGCAGTGTCAGGACAGGCTGTAGGTCTTACTGTGATCTCAGAAAGCATCATACTGTTGCTACAGCAATCAGACATCTGTTTTTAACCCTAAAATATCTTTTTATCATTCCTGCAGAAATAGTCTTCTGAGACTTTGTCTCTTTAGGGGGACACATTTCTGTAGAGAAAATACTGTTTAAGATAAACTAATTTTTATCTGTTATTTCAGTCGTTAAAACCACGCAGCTGACCACACAGTGGCATATGT